CTGCACTTCCCATCCTGCTCCCTGCCCAAGGCCTGGGAAAGCAGTAGAGAAGGGCTCAAAGCCTTGGGATCCTGCACCCATATGGGAGACCCGGAAGAAACTCCTGGCTTCTGGCTTTGGATCAGCTACTTGAGGATAGAAGATCTTTCTGTCTCTCCTTGTCTGTGTAAATTTACCTTCCCAATAAAAATAAATAAATCTTAAAAAAAACAAAAACCCACATGAATTCTTCATTTAAATACCACTAATATTCAGCATGAGCCCTGCCTACTTGGTTAGCCAATCATATACTGGCCAGTATCCACGCAATATTTCATGTTGATGTATCTGTTGTTGCCACAACACATGTGTCCCCTACCTTGGGTTGTGATTTAATTGTTTCCTCAGTGGGTGTGAAATCTCAACATTTTAAAAAAGATTTTATCTATTTTTATTGTGTTAGAGGAGAGATCCTGAGATCTGGCAGTCACATGTAGATCTGGCATGTAGTTCTCAGGAGGCTCAATGGGCACCTCTTGCTTTCCCACCCATTTCCTCCCACTCTCCTCTCTCCTGCTAGGTCAGTCCTGCCCAACCTTAACACTCAGCTCAAACCACCTCCTCAATGAAGTTCTTTTTAGACTCTACAGAGTTTTATTCTCCTTGTTAACCCTCGCAGAGCACTTTGTTCTGACCGGTGAAATCACAAATGTCCATGGTAGGCAGACATGGAAGATAGTCCCCAAGAACGCATTCCCTGTGATAACCTCACCTTGACCCAGTCCCCTCCCCTTTTACTGTGGCCTGCACCTGCTAACCTGCTTCTGAGGACAAAAATAAGAAACAGCAATCTGCTATGATCCCCCCCCCCAAAAAAAATAAATTAATTAAAGTTACAAGATTCACTTCTTCAATTAGGTTACAAAAGACTGTGACTTATTTCTGCTTTGCTAGCAAACTCTTGCAGACTACCTGGGGGCAAGGAACTCAGAGTAGCTTCCAGCCAACAACCTGTGAGAACCAAGACCTTCAGTTCATCAACCAGCAGGGAACAGAATCCTGCCAACTCGTGAACTTGGGAGGGAATCCTGCCCCGGGGGATGTCTGACAGGACCCCATCTTCCATGTAGCTCTATGAGAAGACCTTGAGGCTAAGGACCCATATAAGCCACACCTAAACTCCTGGCTGACAGCAGGAGATACTTTTTGCTGCATTTGTTATGAGGGACTGGCCTACACACAATCTGCCACCCGCAAAACTCCAGCGTCTTACTCTTTTGTACCCACCAGATGGCACTGAAGCTAACAGCTTTAACTGTATTGCTGATGCTTAGTATTTGCCAACTTCTAAATATTTAGAAAAGAAAGGTAACTGACCAATCATATATTCCAAAACTCAACAAAATCCATCCTTTCCTCCTGGTCACATCTATTCTTGCCCTGTTCACTATTAACCCAAAAACACAATTTTAAAAGTCCCACAGGGGAGAGCGCTTGATACAGCCATCCCAACACCTGATGCCACCTCCTATCTCGGCTCCGAGTCCGAGTCTAGCTCCCTGCTAAGGCCTGTGCTGGGAGGCAGCAGGCCCTGGCTCCAGCAACTCGCTTGGAAAACACGATGGATTCCTGAATTGGTTTGGTCTGACTCAGCTCTGGATGTTACGGGCAAAGGGGGAGGGGCGAACTGTGGATGGGAGCAGTGTCTCTTTCCAATAAAATACAAGAATATTTTTTAAAGGTTGAAAAAGTTCTACAAAAACAAGTACAACCCAAGAAATCCCCCCCCCACACACACACACACTCTTAAGCGAAACGTGGTACAAAAAGGTGTGTCTGGTCCAACAACAACAACAAAAAAATCTAAGAGAACACCTAGAAACACGCAGAAAAGCTACCCATTTTTAGTTTCTCCAGAAAAGAACACTTCACCCCCAACTAGGAGGGTTGGGCGGCGGGCACCATCCCGCGCTATGACAAAAGTCGGCAGCCAAGGACAAGTGGGTGTCATTCAGCGTCAGTCCCGGAGCCAGGCAGACGCGAAGTCCTTGGGAGGTCCCAAAGCCACAGGGCTTCACTTCTCGAGATCAGTTTAGCAGGTGCAGAAAAGCCTCCCGCTTGCAAGACTCAAAAACCCAGCAAGACGGACCCTGCTTCTTACAACTTGTTCAAGGTCTCCGTCATTTACGGCCCAGCCCTTCAAGGAGCACATGGAGGCCGCTACCGAGCGTCCTGCTGCTGCAGGGGCGCGTTAGCCGCACCCTGGCCCTGACCCCGCGCGCGCTGCCGCGTCCAACTCACCTCCGGAGCAGCAAACCGCGCAGCTTGAAGGCGGAGAGCGCCCGGCTCCGCACTTTCTCCGGCGCCATGTTTGCACTTTGGCGCCACGGCTGCGGCTCCGCCCCTTCCCGGGAGGTCCGTCCCCGACTCAGCCCCGCCTCTTGTGAGGAACTCCCGGCTCAGGCCCCTCCCCTTCCCTGGATTCCCCGCCCAGGTCACGCCCCTTCCTGACAGGTCCTAGGTTCAACCCCGCTCCTTGCTCAGAGCTCCCCGCCCAGGTCACGCCCCCTCCAAGGAGTTCCCCAGCTCGGCTCCGCCCTTTCCCGGGAGAAACCCAAATTCGACCTGCCGCTTGTCAGTGAGTCCCCGCCCCTTGTGGGAGGTCCCCATCTAGCTCCGCCCCTTTCCCTACACCTCCAGCGAATCCAAGGCGCTCTGGGCTGGGTACCGGCCGGTCTGTCTTCGCCGCGCTCGGTTTTCCGCCCTGTGGTTCCTCACACCTGATGGGCAGTATACTGCCTTGGACCTCCTTTGCTGCCTGGAGGCCGAAGGGCGAGAGCCTGCTTGCTTAGCCGAGTGCATCCCTGAGCCATTCTGCGCTCTCCCTGCTCCTCCAGACCTTCCGTGATTCCGGAGGGCCCAACAGGCCTTCTCTCTGAGGAGGCCCTGACAACAGCTGGGGAAATACTGTGTCCGTGTTGACCTGAAGCTATCACCTCCAGGACTCCGTGCTACCCGCACTTTAAGTTGAGGGATTCAGATTCGCCAACCAATGTCACAAGCACCGTGAATATTGTGATTTACATTTAGGGGCTGGCTCTAAATGTAAGGGCTTAGGTCTAAGCTGCCGCCTGCAACAACCGCATCCCAGTGCCAGAATGCTCATCCTGGCTGCTCACCTTCAGCTCCGGCTCCCTGCTACCGCACCTGAAGCAGCAGCACACGAGGAGATCGAGTTCTAGGCTCCTGACTTCATCCTCGACCCGCTGTAGCTTTATAGTAATTGAGGGGTGAGTTAGTAAATAGATCTTTTAAGAAAAGTATTAGTTTATGTTTTGCTCACAAAGTTTCTTTCCACAAAAGCCTCCTTTCCCCTGAGACACACAAGCAGTGAATGATTTGCTCATGTTGAAAGGTCCAATAAATGGTGAAAGCAGAACTGGAACAATTGGACTGACAGTCTGCCACCACCGGGGTGGACACTGTGGTGTTGCCCGTAAAGCCTTTGCCCACGGTAGCCCCATGTGGATGCCTGCCCATGTCCTGACGGCTCTGCTGCCTAGCCAGTCTGTGCTAATGGCCTGGGAAATCAGAAGAGGCTGCCCCAGTACTTGGGTCTCAGCATCCAGAGGAAGTTCCTGGCTTCTGATCAACCCAATTCCGGCCATTGGGTTCATTTGGGGAGTAAACTAGTGGAAGAAAGATCTTTCTACCTCTCTCTGCCTCTCACGTAAATTAATAAATCTGGGTCTCCCACATGAGTCGCAGAAACGCAAGCACTTGGGCCAGCTTCCACTGCTTTTTCCAGGCCATTAGCGAGGAGCTGGATCAGAAGTATAGCAGTCAGAACACCCAGCACCCAAATGGGATGCCAGCATCACAGCATCACAAGTCGCAGCTTTCCCCACATCACAATTCCAGTCTGGAATTTGGGAATCTTTAATATGGATTGCAGTCAGATCCTATTAGGGAACACATTTTTTTAAGTGGATACACAAGTGACTGTCCTTAATTTTTAAGCAATGTATACTGAAGGTTAATGTGACTACCAAACTGAAAACTGTACATACCTGCAAACAAGTAAATGTAAAGCTTGTGAGATGAACAACTGTTCAGTTTAACTGACTTAAACTCTTGTTTTCTATTTTTGTGTTTTTTTTCACATTAAGAAATTGGAGAGAAAAACTGATCCTAGATGCACCATTTCTTACAACCTCATAGGGATTTCTGGCTATTCCTCTGACCCTCTTTTTGGTTATTTCTTTTCTCTCCCCCCCCCCTCACTTTCTGGTTTGTTTTTGTTAACTATGGAACTCCCCTGCCTGCCTTCTACAGAAGAGAACATACTGTGGAGCAGCACCTAAGCACAGTAGGCTAAGCTTCTGCCTGCAGTGCCAACATCCCGTATGGGTGCCTGTTCGATTCCAGCTGTTCTACTCCCAGTCCAGCTCCCTGTTGGTGTGCCCTGGAGAGCAGCAGAAGATGGCCCATATCCTTGTGCCTCTGTAGTCAAGTGGGGAGACCTAGAAGAGGCTCCAGATTCCAAGCTTTGGATTAGCCCAACTTTGGCGATTACACCCTTTTGGGGAGTGTACCAGTGAATGGAAAATCCCCGTTCTTCACTCTCCACAAATTTGCCTTCCAAATAAGAATAAATCTCTCTCACTCTGCGTGTAAGTGTTTGTATGGGGGGAGGGGGTTAGTCCTTAAGTAAGGCCACTGACATTTAACAGTTAGGAAGACCGGGCCTTCTTTTCTAATGGATGGGATGTCAGGGGCAGAGGACAGGCAGAGCCCCTCAGAGGCTGATTAACTGCACCCTCCTCCCCCAAGCAGGTGCCAGGGGTGCAAGTCCCTGGGCCACGTTCCTGCCAGGGCTCCGGCAGGGCTCCGGCTCCGCTTCCTCAGCGAGCGGCCGCGGGACGGCGCAGACGCACTGGCTCCGCCTTCCCACCAATCTCGACCCTCGACGCGTTCCGTTCGTGCGTGGAGGGGCCGGGACGCGAGGCGAGGCCGCGCCGTGGGCAGGGGCTGCGGCGCGCCCGAGCGCTGGGGGCGAGCGACGGCGCGGATGGCGGACTCGCGGCTCTTCTGCGTGGCCGAGGAGCGCAGCGGCCACTGCGCCGTGGTGGACGGAAACTTCCTCTACGTGTGGGGGGGCTACGTGGTAAGGGGAAGAGGCGGGACGGGGCGGACTCGCGCCGGGACCCGCCCGCCCGCCGCCCACACCGGCTCGGAGCCCGCGGGGACCTGGGGGCGCGGCTCGGGCAGGGATCCCGCGCCCCGACAGCGCCGGGGCCGCCCTCGCCGTTGCTTTTCCGCTGGGAAAGCCGGGGTTCCCGGGGTTGGGGGGCTCCTGCCACGCTCCCCCAGTTTGTCCAGTAACGCGCGCCGGCCGGCCGGGGACAGTTAAGCGCGATTAATTCTCGTCTTGACAATGCCCTGGTGCAGACTTGAAGTGGCCGCAAAGGACGCCGTGCTGTAATTAGGTTGTACGGATTTCCTTACCTCTGCGGCGCGACTCCAAATAAAAACCTCTAAATCACCGAAGCCTTTCAGTATTACTAAGCTCTTTCTAGCGACATTTGTCTACCTAACGAATTTTGTTTCCTTTAAGTGTCAAAATAGCTTTGTATGAGCACCAGGTTAGGGTGGTTGTGGGTTAAAATCGCTCCAGTGGAGATTTGAAAGCATGTTTTTGTTTCAAGCATCTTGACGGAAGCAAGAACTGTGCGGCTGGGAAACAATTCAGTAGTATCTGGCAAACTCTCGAGCTTACAGATTTCTAAGAAGTGGTCACTGAAACTAGCACCTGTGTCTTCTCCATATTTAGTGTGACAGACCTGTAACGTGACTGTCATCGTGAAATAAAGTACCTGCTGTGTGTGTGTGTGTGTGTGTGTGTGTGTGTGTGTGTGTGTGTGTGTTAATTCTCACATCCTGGTTGGTCTTTGTTGTTTTGTGTGTTTGTTCTTCACGTAGTGCAGTATGGGGGGGGGAGGGAATCCTAATTTACTGTATCTAGCATACACTAGACCCTCTCATATCCCTAAATTTGGGTATGCCTTACTGTAACCATCTAAAGTAGGTAGATAATAACCTCATTTTATAAATGAGTAGTCAGTGTGTAACTTTAAGGGTCGTTTGGTCTCCAGGGAAGAGGATTCCAGCTGAAATAGCTAACAGGCCCTGGAATCTGGAGGTATTCCATCAGTGGTGAGGAGTCGTCATTGGCTTCTTCCAGACTGTTCCTGTCATGATTGTCCTCTTTAACACAGTGTATGTACTGCTAACACTCCCAGATACAGAGCCAAAAGGCTCTTGTTCTGTTGTCAGATGTATTCTGAAGCACATTGTATCTGAAAGCTTCCCTGCCTCTAGGTAATGCCAAAAAGCAAGGGGCAAATTCTCATGGATGCTGAAACATTTTCTTGATCTTTTTGGTCTGTATTTTTTTTTCTCTCCTTCCTGAAGTACATGACGGTGCTGCCCCTAGGAAGGATGAAAATTGTCAGTAGTTTAGCCAGATGGTGGAGGAGCAGCTCAGGGGTTGGTGTGTTCCTAGGTAGTATGCTTGGCTTTTCCCTTTGACCTTAATTATTTGAACAGTTTTAGTCCCATGATGCCTTACATACTACATTGTACTATGAACTTTGTCTTATAGAAAGCTCTGGGATAAATACACTTAAGTAGGAATTTCTGTAAGGGATGTTGATGGTCTTACAGAAGGGTCAGTTGAGAAAATGTCTGAAAAGAATAACAATGAACAGCCTGCTATATCAGATGCTAAAACATCATGACACCATTAATAGGTAAATTACTAGTCTTGATGCAGGTAGAGAAAGTGTAGTGAAATGAGAAAGAAAATTACATGAACAGCCAAACATAAACATGTCCTGTATTTAAAAGAATTTTAAATTTGGAAGAAAAATCACTTTTGTGATTATTGATCCTAGAATCACTGAAAGAAGATGATATTAATACTTTAGGACTAAAGTATTAAGTATAGAAGAAATTGGCCATACAATACTGTAGGAGAATAGATGATTTACAAAATCTTGGAAAAGAAAATCTGAGTTGGGAAAAAACTATAAAGGACAAGGTTAGCAGATGAACTTCAGGAAGAGTCAGGAGGTGCTTTCCCCTTCTCTTTACTTTCTTTTTGTTTTTAGGATTTTTATTACAAAGTCAGATATACAGAGAGGAGACACAGAGAGGAAGATCTTCCATCCGATGATTCGCTCCCCAAGTGAGCGCTATGGCTGATGCTGTGCCGATCCGAAGCCAGGAGCCTCTTCCGGGTCTCCCACGCGGGTGCAGGGTCCCAAAGCTTTGGGCCGTCCTCCACTGCTTTCCCAGGCCACAGGCCTGGATGGGAAGCAGGGCTTCTGGGATTAGAACCAGTGCCTGTATGGGATCCAGGGTATGCAAGGCGAGGACCTTAACCACTGCGCCGGGCCCTAGTTTCTATACTCTTTTAAGCTGATTGTTTATATGTCCATAAGTGGTTACCTAGGCCATCTGTATCATGTGGGAAGTATGTATCAATCCTGTTAATTGCCCAGAATTGGAACCTCGTTGGACTGCTTGTGTTATTCTTCCTCGGAGTCTTGTCTGGGTGTTTGTTTCAGTTGCTTCACTGCCTCCTCTCCACTGCCATTCTGCAATGATAGTTTGTTCACTTTTGTATCCCTGGTCTTTAGAGAAGGAGCTGAATGGAAAGCACTCAGGTTGGCTGTAACACGTGGTTTGGACACCGCTGCTCAGGTGAATCAGTGCTGATGTGGATTTAGAAGTAAAGATGTTAGCAGACGGCACTGTGCAGGATTCTTACTCTGGGACAGAGTTTGGTGTTAAGGACAGTGTTGCAAGCTGCAGCATGCTGGGCCTGCGGCCTGAGGGTGTTGGACCTGGCCCAGCCCAGAGTTCGGACTCTGCTCCTCCAGCCTTCCTAGAAATTTTGTGACCTACTTTGTCATTTCTTAATGTTTCATTCACTTCAAATTTTTAAAAAGATTTATTTTTATTTCGTTTATGGGAAAGTCAAATTTACAGAGAGAAGGAGAGACAGAGAGAGACAGAAAGATCTTCCATCTATGGGTTCATTCCCCAAGTGGCCACAATGGCTGGAGCTGAGCCAATCCGAAGCCAGGAGCTTCTTCCAGGCCTTCCCACTGGGGAACAGGGTCCCAGACCCTTGGGCCATCCTCAACTGCTTTCCCAGGCCTCAGGCAGGAAGCTGGATGGAAAATGGAGCAGCAGAGATACAAACCAGCACCCACAAGGGATCCCTGTGCATGCAAGGCGAGGACTTTAACCACTAGGCTACCGTGCCAGGCCCTTATTCACTTGATTTTATAGTTTGAAATAAATGTACTAGAGAGCATATAAACTAAATGTCATGTAAAACTCAACATCTTTTTACCTTCCAGGTTAAGAAATAGACTGTTACCAGTACCCTAGAAGCTTCCTGCTTATCCTTCACTCCCACCCCTGCGGGTTATCCCTGGCTATAATCATTAATCACTCTTTTCTTTATAATTTTACCAAAATGTACAGCTAAGCAACGTTGTTCGATTTTGGAATAGCAGCATGTTTTCTCTCATGATTGATTCTTTTATTACTTTATTCAGTTCATTCATTGCTTATAGTAGGCTGGTAGGCATTTTTTTTTAAAGATTTATTTTTATTATTTTTTTTTAATTGGAAAGGCGGATATACAGAGAGGAGAGACAGAGAGGAAGATCTTCTGTCCGATGGCTATGCCGATTCGAAGCCAGGAGACTCTTCTGGTTATCCCACGTGGGCGCAGGGTCCCAAAGCTTTAAGCTTTGGGCCATGCTCGTCTGCTTTCTCTGCTTTCCCGGGCCACAAGCAGGGAGCTGGATGGGAAGCGGCGCCGCCGGGATCAGAACCGGCGTCCACATGGGATCCCGGGCGTGCAAGGTGAGGACCTTAACCACTGTGCCACTATGCCAGGCCCCGGCTGGTAGGCATTTTTACACAAGGCTGTTCTTGCTGTTGTTTGAGGTTCATTCTGACTGACCCACGCCTGTGCGGCTCAGTTGTTAAATACCTTGAAACTCACCCCTGGATTCATTCACTTGATGTGTGTCCTGTGTGACTTTCTGTTGTGTGATTTTGCTGAGGTTTATCCATTCCATGGTTGACAAACACTGGAACTTTCCTTGACTTGTTCTTACCAGCAGTAATGCAATGAGCGGCATTCTTACAGCTTGGCATCCTATTGAACATGCACAAGGAAAAATCTTTTCTAGGGCATATGCTGAAGTGTAGAATTCTGGGTCACTTGCTATCCGTGTTTTCAAATTTACTTGGAGATGTTAAGACTGTAGCCAAAATATTTGTATCAATTAATATGGCCATCAGCCACTTTCTTATTCCACATCCTTGTCAAGATTTGGTCCCATCTGGCCTTCATTTCTTTTGCCAGTCCAATGAGTGTGATATGATATTTCATTCTGGTTTTGTTTTCATTTTCTTAATTACTGATAAAGTTGAATGCCTTTTCATACTTTTAGGACCTATCTGTGTTTTCTCTTGTGAAATTGGTTATGTCTTGTCATTTTTTTGTTGGCTTTTTTTTTTCCTGATTTGTATGAATTCTTCACATATACCAATAAAAAAATATATAAGCCAAGAGAAAAATGTTTGTAGCTTCTCATTGTACTTCCTTGATCATTCTTTCATTGAACAGAAGTTACTCATTCTAATGTAAGTTTGATATTTTCCTTGATGCTTTGTGCTTTCTGCATTGTTTGAGAAATCTTTCCCTGTGTGGAGATTATAACATCTTCAGTATTTATTTCTAAGTGTTTAACAGTTTTACAGTCCATGTTTATATCTTCCTTTAAAATCTGATTTTTTGTTTGTTTCTCTGGTTGATTGGTTTAAGTTGGGGGGGGTACAGTTTTACTATATTTTCTAAGTGGGTAAACACTTGTCCCCCTATCATTTATTCCCTCCTTTCCCTATTAACCTGCAATCCCAGTCTGTCATATATCAAGTGTTTGCAGGTGTATGATTTATTTCTAGGTTCCGTTGGTCTTTTTGTTTGTTCTTGTGATGCAGCCACACCGTTGCAATTAGAAGAGCTGTTGTGAGCTCTTGGTGTTAGCTGGATGTCCGTATCTCTCCCAGGATTTGGGAAGGTTTAGAGATTTTTCCATCGGTAGGCTTTCTGTACTTTTCCCCTTTTCTTCTCCTGAGACATTCATAGTACAAACATTTGCTGAGTAAGCAAGACTTAGAAGTCTTTTTTTTTAAGATTTAGTTTATTTTTATTGGAAAGTCAGATATACAGAGAGGAGGAGAGACAGAAAGATCTTTCATCTGCTGATTCACTCCCCCAGTGACCACAAGGCCAGAGCTGAGGCTATCCAAAGCCAGTAGCCAGCAGCTTCTTCTGGGTCTCCCATGTGGGTGCAGGGTCCCAAAGCATTGGGTCATCCTTGACTGCTTTCCCAGGCAACAAGCAGGGATCTAGATGGGAAGTGGGGTTGCCGGGATTAGAACCGGTGCCCATATGGGATCCTAGTGCATTCAAGACAAGGACTTTAGCCCCTAGGCCACCACACCGCCCCCCCTCCCTTTTTCTAAGCAGTTGTGTTATTTTTTTTTTTATTGGAAAGGCAGACATACAGAGAGAAGGAGAGATGGAGAGAAAGATCTTCTGTCCAATGATTCACTCCTGAAGTGGCCGCAGCAGCCAGGGCTGAGCTGATCTGAAGCCAGGAGCCAGGAACTTCTTCCAGGTTGCCCACACGGATACAAGGTCCCAAGACTTGGGTCATCCTCAACCTCTTTCCCAGGCCACATCAATCAATCAGTCAATCAATCAATCAATCATTCTCTCTGTTTCTCCTCTCTCTGTAACTCTGCCATTCAAATAATGGCAATAATAGTAATAATAATAATAAATAATTCTGTTTTTTAGTTCTTTTGCTATCCTGGTCTGAAAATTAGTACAAAAGGATTAAAAATCTCTTGCTCCAGCTGTTGATTTTTAATTTCTTCCTGCGGTGCTTTATTTGCCTTTTTGAATTACCTTTTATGTGCATATGAATTATGTTTTTTGAGAACATTTTTTCTTGTTCTCTATTTTTTATATATAAAAATCTTGATTTGTTTTTAGTCATGTGGAAGGTGCCTTATTTACTTCAACAAAACAATTTACTGCATTAGCAGTTTAATAGTTTCTTCCCTTAGGAAAAATTAATTTTTGAGGAGGATAAACAAGATCACAGAGAGAAAGGGAGAGAGCCAAAGCAGGGATATTTCTATCTGTGGATTTATTCCTAAAATGGCCGCAACAGCTGGGCTGAGCCAGGCTGACAGCAGGAGCTTGAAACTCCGTATGCCGCATGGGTGATAGGGGTCCAGAAGTGGGCTGTTAGCAGGAAGCTGGCTCAGAAGTGGAGCATCCAGGATGGAAGCAGCACCCAGTTGCCATTTCAGGTAGTGGCTGAACCTCCGGCGCCACAACCCTGGTCTCGGAAAGTTTTAAGTCTGTCCACCCCTATCCCTGGGTGGTACGATCCTAGTCTCCCTATCGAGGTGGTACGATCCTGGTCTCCCTATCGAGGTGGTCATCAAAACAGAATATTGATGTGTACTTGACCGTTTTTAAATGCTTTGTCACGCCCTTTCTTGCTACATTTCAGATCTTTATGTGTCATGTTTCCCTTTTGCCTTTAGTAATACATCGATCAGAATTTCCTTCAGTAAGGCTCTGTCTCTGGTGCACTGTCTCAGATTTTATCTAATTATGTCTTTATTTCACCTGAGTTCTTGGGAGATAGTTTCTCTAGATATAAAATCCTAGGTTAGGGGGGTCCGGCACAGTGGCCTAGCGGCTAAAATCCTTGCCTTAAACATGCCGGGATCCCTTATGGTCACTGGTTCTAATCCTGGCAGCTCCACTTTCTACCCTGCTCCCTGCTTGTGGACCGGAAAAGCATCAAGAACGGCCCAAGGCCTTGGGACACTGCACCCGTGTGGGAGGCCTAGAAGAGGTTCCTGGCTCCTGGCTTAGGATCGGTACAGCACTGGGTGTTGCAGTCACTTGGGAAGTGACTCAGTGGATGGAATATTTTCCTCCCTGTCTCTCCTCTCTGTATATCTGAGTTTGTAATAAAAATAAATAAATCAAAAAATAATAATAAAATTCTAGGCTGGGAAGTACTATGTGTAAGTATATCTGTTTAAGATTATTTAGGTTCTGTTAGTGAGATTTCAATCATTATCCACCATGAAGGTGATCTCTGTTTTCTCTAGCTGTTAGGAAAATATCATGTAGTTTCACTTTGTGTATCAAAGTATATATATTTCTTATCCTATGTGGAATGCAGGGCCACCCAGATATCAGAATAGATTACTTGTAATAGTTTTTCAAAAACTTACAGCTTTGTCTCTTCAAACTTGGCTCTTTTCCATTCTCTCTATTTTTGTCTTTCTTCATGTCTTCAGTCTGTAGCCAGGAGCCACAAGTCCCCCATGTGGATGCAAGGGCCCAAGACCTCAGGCCATCCTGTGTTGTTTTCCCAAAAGCATGAGCAGGAGGTTGGAGGCAGAGCAGCCAGAACTCGTGCTGGTGCCCAGATGGAGTGCTGGTATCACAGGGCAGTGGCGCTCCTGCTCCTTCAGGTCCCATGCGCCTGAAAGAACATTCTGAGAGACGAGTATAGTGCAGATGAGTGGCTCTGGCACAGCAGGGAATGGGGGAGGTTTAGGAACTGAGAAAGACTGCATGGCCTTAATCAGCGAAAGGCAAGCTGAGCTGCAGTGGGACAGCAGGTCCCATGAGGTACTGCACAGTACAGCGCCTTTAGAATTGTAGACTATTCCAAACAGTAGGAACTTCAGAATAGTGACAGCATGTTAGCATTGCTTTGTTTTGAAAGGTAACACACGTGGCTGCTTGGTCTGATGTCATTGACACTTGGAGTCACACAACTCATTTCCTTTTTTCTGTCCTTAATTATCCACATAACCGTCTAATACTGATGTCTTGGTTTGGCATAACGGACTGGGTTTCCTTAGAATTAATAAAGAGTGTGTGTGTCAAGAGAGGGAGAATAGTTAAGATACTGTTTTTGTAATTATGGCAATGAGAAGCAGTATCATCTGCTAGGAATGTGAACAATTTCTGTATCATACACTTTTAGAAACTCTTGAGCTATGTTTTATAAGCTAGCTTGTTTTGAAAATTGTTTTATAGGTTCTAAGAAATTGCAACAGATTTATCTGAGCTCTTGCTTTAATTCCTATGTTATTTCAGCTTGTTACCCTTTTCCTATTTATCTTTCAATTGTCATTAAAAATGTCTTTTAGGCTGTAGCCTAGCGGCTGAAGTCCTCACCATGCATGTGCTGGAATCCCATGCGGGCACTGGTTCGTGTCTTGGCAGCTCTGCTTCCTGTCCAGCTCCCTGCCCGTGGCCTGGGAAAGCTGTCAGGGATGGTCCAAGGCCTGGGGAGCCCACAACTGCGTGGGAGACATGGAGGAAGCTTCTGGCTCTTGGCTTCTAAAGGGCTCAGTTCAGCCGTTGCAGACGCTTGGGGAGTCAATCAGCAGACAAGAGATCTTCCTCTTTGTCTTTCTTCTCTGTATATCTGACTTTCCAGTAAAATAAACAAATTTTCAAAAATCTTTTATTAATTATTTCTGTGTACTCAAAATATACTGTCTTCTTACATGCTCTTTTTTCTTTGTTTTATTGTCTAAATGTCTGCTACAAATCTGTTTTAAAGTCCTTTTAAGAAGGATTTAAATATCAAGAGTTAAGATTCATATACTTTTTTTCTTTTCTTTTTTTTTTTTTTTTGCAGTTCATATGCTTTCTATTTAGAATTTTGAAGCTTTATTTCCCCCATTTCTCTCTAGGAGACCATTCCCTTCTTTTACATTGGAGAAAAAAATCCTTCCATCCTAATTTTGTGTATTGCAGTGTTTTTATTGAAATTTTTCAGTGTTGAGGAACTGTTTGATTATGACCATGTAATTGATAAACAACTTTATGTGTTCTCTGTTTTTAGTCTATTGAAGACAATGAAGTATATTTGCCTAATGATGAAATTTGGACCTATGAAATTGATAGTGGGTTATGGTAAGTTAGTTCAAATTTTAGGTTTTCTCCAATTTTAGTGTCTGTTCAATTGAGATTGTACTTAGAACCCACCACAGCATTGGTGAAGTCTCCTTTTCCATTTATTCCAGTGTTCCCTTCTCTGTGGCTCTTGCCTTGCACTGTTCCATTTATCATTCCTCTTAAGACCAACACTGTCCTGAACGCTGTTGTGTTCCATTCTGAGTGCCAGCGGCATATAGGAAACATTTTGTGGTTGGCTTTGTCCTCGCCGGTTGAAAAGTGTTCATCTGAATCTGGAGGGTTTTATTCGGTATCAGTGACCGTTGTACGCTGCCTGTCATTGGCAGTGACAGTGTTCACTGAAACAGGAAGGGACTGTTCTTTCCCCTTTGGAGGGTGACGGGATCCTGTGCTGTTCTCGCTGCAGGAGGATGCACCTCATGGAAGGAGAACTCCCTGCCTCCATGTCGGGAAGCTGTGGCGCTTGCGTGTGTGGGAAGCTCTATGTTTTTGGAGGATACGATGACCAGGGATACAGCAACAGAGTAATGTTTCCTTTTCATTCAGGAGCTCAGCACCATGTCCTATTCAGTGCATCACCCCATCCTACAGCTTTCCCACAAATACTCCATAAAGACGTGTAGGACATTGCAGATTTCCAGTGACAAGTTTTAATTCACAGTCTACACCCTAGGATTTTATTTACATGAAACGGTAGCATAGACAAAATTGATCTATAAACAGAAAGCAGATTGATGATTTTCTGTAGTTAGAGGTGTGAGAGGAATGGTACCAATGGGACACTGGTAACTTTCTTTGAATGACAGAAATAATTTATCCTTTGATAGTGTACTTGTTAAAGCTCACCAAATGGGATACCTAATTAAACAAAAAAGATGAAAGGCAAAATAAAAACAACCAAGGGATTGGCAATACAAACATCTGAGTGCAAAGGGTAAGGAGCTCAGCCTGAAGACCACCAGTCCAGGATGCGCTGATGGCATTGGCGGGTTCCTATTGCAGATCTTCCTCTGGGGTCCTACTCATGTTTATTTACTTCTCTTTACATCCCATCTCCAAAAATATATTGGGAGACAGTGTGGTGGACAGATTGGCACTTGGCTCCCTGTGTTGCAGCTTGTGAGGCATCCCCAACCCATGGGCATGGGTGGGACCTGAGACTAGCTGCTACCAGGACATGGCAAAGGGGATGGAATGTCCACAGGTGTGATTGCAAGATTTTTTACACACACACACACACACACACACACACACACGCACACACACAGAACTCTCATCCAATAGCTCATTCTTCAGATGCCCTGGGGCTGGGCCAGATGCTGGAGGGAGGAGAGAAGAATATATTCCAGGTCTCCCATTCTCCCACATGTTAAGTTTTGGGATTTGTCTTGCTAGCACACTTGCTCTATTGCTTCTTGTTTACTTGAAGAGGCCACAGGGAAGGAAGCCTGTATGAAAAAAAAAAACTAGCAGACACACCAGTGACAAAATTTTGAAGATAGTCTTTCTGCTTGCAAATTAACTGCATTTCTAATTCATATCCACGCAGAGAGAGACTGTGATGGGAAGTGCTCCATTTTCCTGTGTTTTGTATCATTTCTGCCTCTAAAACTCTCTCATTTTCATTAAGGCTGCAGTTTTTAATTTGTACCAAGTAAAAATGTTACATGTTGGAGACAGAGCAGTAGCAATGTTAATTTTTGGATCACAGGTTTCTCTGACACATACCTAATTTTCAAATGTTGTGTGTGATAAAAATGTTTTCATCTTTTAAAAGCTTTATTTTGTTAATTTGAGAACAAGCGATGGAACCTACCTTTGGGAAAAAATCAGTAACTTTGAAGGCCAGCCACCAACGCCACGTGATAAACTTTCCTGCTGGGTATATAAAGACAGGTAAGATGCCTGCATGTTTAATGCATTGATGGCAGGTAAGTGAGGACTATAGCTTTTGGCCAAAGCAGAAAAGTTCACAGTATGAAGCTTCTTCCAAGATACAAGTTCAAACCTTTCTGATGTGAATAGTAGTAGCAATTCTGAACCCTGGATCAGAGCCATGGTATAGCAATGAGTATGGTAGGAACTCGCTGCTTTTCTTTTACATTATTTGTTGTTCTACTTAATTTTTTTTGGACAGGTAATACATTTACGTGGGTCCAAAACGGAAATACTGGTTTGGAGGGTACGCTGCACGGTGTTTCCTCCTCGGTCCCCATGCACGTTGCCCCCATGCCCCGCGTGCACAAAGTCCCACAGGTGTGCGTGTATTCCTGTTCTCCTCAGCCTGCTCTGCATACTGTGGGTACTGAGTACACTCTTTGGAACTCTGCTACTTGTTGTGGTTAAGCCTGACGTACAGGCTTTTCCTCTTCCTGTAGCCCTAGTCAGGGTTGCTTTGTTTTGCTTTTTTAATTTTTGGCTTGCTGCATCGTATTCCCCTTTATAGATGCATCATAGTTTACTAAACCTTTTCTTTATAGCTAAAACAATGCTTGGGTCATTTTAACTCTCTTGCTCTGACAAACCACGCTGTGCTGAATATCTTTGTATGTGAATAACAGCAGATCTGTCAATTAAAATTCCAGAGCAAGATTGCTTAGTCTGCTCTTTTCAAACATCTGGATCTTTTCTGCTTTATTCTCCCTAATTTTTCTTTTTTCTTGATGTAGGCATTGTGGCATGGCAGTTAAGCTCACCACTTGGGATGCTTGTCTCCTGCTGTAGTGCTAGTTTGAGTCTGACTGCTTCACTTGGAGTCCAGCTTCCTGTAATGGAAAGAAGGAAGCAGCAATGATAGCCCAAATGCTCTGGCCCCTGCTGCCTTCTCAGCAGACCCAAACGGATCCCTGGACTCCTGGGTTTTGCTTACTCCGCTTGCAGCTTGTGTGGGTTTTGGGGGGAGTGAATTAGTTTATGGAAGTGTGCCTTCTCTCCCTCTCTCTCTCTCTGTCCGTCTCCCTCACTTCCCTGTTCTCACTCTCAGTCACTCAGTCATCCAACAGGATAATAAACTTTTGTAAACTTTTCTTTAAATGAACTACTGATTTTACTTAGGATTTGTCTTTTTTTCTATTTCTGTGTCTAATTTTCTGTTAAGCCTATTGGAGTAATTCTTTCATTCTGACATCTAATTTTCCATTTTTAATATTTATTTCATTGTCTTGGTTTTGTGTGTTTGCTTAAATTGCTCTTTCTTTCTTAAGATTTATTTGTTTTTATTTGAAAGGAAGATTTTACAGAGAGAAGGAGAGTCAGACTAAGACAGAGGTCTTCTGTCTGCTGGTTCACTTCCCAAATGGCTGCCGTGGCCAGAGCTGAGCTAACCCAAAGCTGGGAACTTTTTCCAGGTTTCCCAAGTGGGTGCAGGTTCCAAGGACTTGAATCATCCTCTGCTGATTTCCCAGGCCATAAGCAGAGAGCTGGATTGGAAATGGAGCAGCCAGACATGAGCTGGTGCTCACATGGGATGCCAATACCATAAGAGTATTAGCCAGCTGACACGTTACACTGGTCCCTGAGGTGCTCATTTCTTCCCATAGTTATCACTTTTCTCCACTAGGTCTGCTGTCATTTCTATTATAGTCATTTTATTCTTTAGACATATGTTCATTTTTATTTAAAAGGCTGATTTTACAGAGACAGACAGAGAGAAGGCCTTCCATCTGCTGATTCACTCTCCAAAAAGCCAAAACAGCCAGAGCTAAGCTGGGAGCTAGAAACATCTTCTATCTCCTATGTTGGTGCAGAGGATCAAGGACTTGGCTATTTTTACTGCTTTCTCGGACCGTAAGCAGAGAGCTGGATCAGGAAATACAGCAACCAAGACATGAACCTGTGCCCATATAGAGCTGGCACCACAGGACAAATAATTAGTGTGCTGTACCATGCAGGCACCTATCATTTTAAAGGCAATTTCTGATTATTCTAATATTTGGCCAATATCTGACTGCTTGTATTTACTCTTTCCTCTCTAAATTGTGGGTCAGTGTGTGTGACTGTGTACAGGCATATGTATGTGAGAGAGAGAGAGGTTGCATTTTCATATATTCTATAATTTTTTATTCTAAGATAGACATTCTGTAAGAAAGAGCAGTAATACTAGAATACATTATACTTATCTCCACAGAGTGGCACAACAGGTCTTTGTTCAGGCCGCTGGACTGGGTTCCAAGGCAGTCTAATCTGTAGCTGAGCTGTGTTCAGCTTTGTTCAGCATTTTAATTTCAATATACCACTGGCTTCTCATGTTTCTGAGGGAGGACTTTCCTTCACCAGGATCCTGAATTTCAGAGCTGGAAATCATCTAGAGATTTTTTTTTTAATTTTTAAATTTTTATTTATTTTTATTTTATTGGAAAGTCATTTTACAGACAGGAGGAAAAACAGAGAAAGATAGTTCATTTGCTGGTTCACTCCCCAAGGGGCCATGACGGCTGGAGCTGAGCCGAATTGAAGCCAGTAGCCAGGAGCTTCTTCTAGGTTTCCCATGCAGGTGCGGGGTCCTGAGGCTTTGGGCAGTCCTCAACTGCTTTCCCAGGCCACAGGCAGAGAGCTGGATGGGAAGTAGAGCAGCCAGGATAGGAACCAGTGCCCATATAGGATCCTAATGCATGCAAATCAAGGACTTTAGCCACTAGGTTACCACACTGGACCCCTGTCTAAAGATTTTGAAGCTATCTTTTCAAAACCATTTTTCCACTTCTCATAATTATGGGAAATATCTCCCTGTTTGTTTGTTTGTTTGTTTTATCCCAGCTGGTCGGTCTTTGGGCCAGCAGGAGTTCTTTTTCCTGTCCAGTCTCATGATTTCTATACCTTTAGTCTCTCTGAGCCTCTGCCTTCTACCTTGGCCTTTGAAGGCTGCCATTCTGTGTGGCATAAAGGCTTGGCATGCCCCTGACATGCTTCTTTCACATCATCTGTCCTAATCCCAATCTTGGAAGCTTGAAAATCCTGGTTGCCTGGAGAGACCTGATTGATCTGTCCATTGCTTCCAGATTTTGATGACTGACCCTGAAACTTTTCTCAAGAATAAAAAAGGATGCTAGTATAGGCTCAAGCTCCTTCTGTGTCTGTTTCCAGATGCTAATTTGTGGGGTCATTTTAACATCTATGATAGAGCTGCCACCAGCAATGCCACCTTCCCATGTGGGTGCCAGTTCAAGTCCTGGCTACTCTGCTTCTAATCAAGCTCCTTGCCAATGGCCTGGGACAACAGAAGCAGATGACCACAGTACCTAGGCCGCTGCCACCCACTTAGGAGATCTGGAAGAAGCTCCTGGCTCCTGGCTTCAGCCTGACCCAGTCCCAGCCTTTGTACACATTAAGAGGGGGTGATCTGTTGGATGGAATATCTCAGTTTCTCCCCATTCTCTGTCTTTCAAATAATAAAATGAAAATACTTTTAAATTTTTTACAGATTTATTTATTTTTGTTGGAAAGTCAGATATACTGAGAGGAAGAGAGACAGAAAGGAAGATCTTCCATCTGCTAATTTATTCCCCAAGTGGCTGTAACAGCCAGAGCTGAGCCAATCTGAAGCCAGGAGCGCGGAACCTCTTCCGGGTCTCCCAAGCGGGTGCAGGGTCCCAAGGCTTTGAGCTGTCCTCTACTACTTTCCCAGACCACAAAACAGTGCTAAAATGGAATCCCAGCATGTGTAAGGCGAGGACTTCAGGCTACTGTGCCAAGCCCAATATTTTTAAATTTAAAAATATATGTATGTATTTACTTTTATTTGAAAGACAGGTTTTACAGAGAGATAGAGAAGGATCTTCCAACCACTGGCTCACTCCCTACATGGCTGCACTGAGCAATTCTAAGTTCTGAAATCAGGATCACAAGAGCCTATTATGGGTCTCCCATGCGGGTGCAGGGACCCAAGGCTTTGGGCCACCCTCCACTACCTTCCCAGGTCACAAGCAGGTAACTGGATCAAAAGTGGAGCAGCTGTAATGGGAACTATTGCCCATCTGGGATACCTGCACTTCAAAATGGAGGATTAGCCGGCTGAGTCATCGCACTGGCACCAAGAGATAAAAAACTTTAAAATAGGGCTTGGCTCCATGGCCTAGCAGCTAAACTCCTTGCCTTAAACATGCTGGGATCCCATATAGGCACCGGTTCTAATCCTGGCAGACCCCACTTTCCATCCAGCTCCCTGTTTGTGGACTGGTAAAGCAGTCAAAGACAGTCCAAAGCCTCAGGACCCTGCATCTGCGTGGGAGGCCTTGAGGAGGTTCCTGGCTACTGGCTTTGGATCGGTTCAGCACTGGCTGTTGCGGTCTCTTGGGGGGTGAATCATCAGACGGAAGATCTTCCTCTCCGTCTCTCCTACTCTGAGTATATCTAACTTTCCAATAAAAATAAATAAGTTTTTAAAAAAATATCTTTAAGGGGCCCCGCACGATGGCCTAGTGGCTAAAGTCCTCGCCTTGAACATGCCGCAGGATTCCAAATGGGCACCAGTTCTATTCCCAGTGGTCCCACTTCCCATCCAGCCTCCTGCTGTGGCCTGGGAAAGCAGTCCAGAACAGCCCGAAGCCTTGGGATCCTGCACCTGCATGGGAGATCCGGAAGAGCTCCTGGCTCCTGGCTTTGGGTCAGCACAGCACCAGCTGTTGTGGTCACTTGGGACGTGAATCATCGGAGGGAAGATCTTCCTCTCTGTCTCTCCTCCTCTCTGTATATCTGACTTTGTAATAAAAATAAAATCTTTAAAAAATACGTATCTTTAAAACATATTAAAAAAAAAAAAAAGCAGTAAGATTCTGGTGCCCAGAGCCATGGTATAGTAGGTTAAGCCTCCTCCCTGCAGTGCCAGTATCCCATATGGGCTCTGGTTCAATTCCCAGCTGTTCATGCTCCCATCCATCTCCCTGCTAATGTGCCTGGGAATGATCCTCTCACCCTCCTCCCAGCAGACCAAGAGAAGAATAAAAAAAGGAACTGAAAAAAAAAAAAAAGACCCTAATTTTCCATACCAGCCTGCCTCGGTGGTTTTTTTCAAGCCCTTATGTACTTGTGCACTGATCCTCTGCATAGCGTGAGTTCCTTCTCCTGTCCCACAGGAATGGAAGCAGCCGTGGTACTCCTCATGTTGGGAGCTTACCGCATTGTGGGATTAACTAATTCACATCCCAGGGTTTGCACAGCCCTTTGATTTTGTAATTAGTTTAGATGTTTTTGGTTCTTACAGTGTAAGAAAGGATCTATTTGAATTTTTATGAGTATATTATAGTATATTATTATATTATAATGTATATCTTCTTATTTTTACTTTTCAGGTTAATATATTTTGGTGGTTATGGGTATAGGAGACACAGTGAACTCCAAGACTGTTTTGATGTTCATGATGCATCTTGGGTAAGAGACTAATCACTGTAAAGATACCTTTCCAATTAAAAATATATGTATATATGTATATGTATATATATATTAAAGCAGAATGTAACACTGGCACATGGAAAAGCTAATGTGCTGACAGAGGATTTCAACTCCCACAGGATGCCAAGCACAACGTAACTACTAACTCTGAGCCTTCATGACAAAGAATTTTGGCTCTTAAAGGAAAAGGAAGACATGCAGCATAAGTCTGACCAGTCACACAAATTTCTGGATGAAGTAGAAGTGATTAGAACTTTTCGGAAAAAGGAACCATGGCCTCCCACAGTTTATTACAGCCAGGTTGAGGTTCTGAGCATGTGTTTTATGGAAACATTTCAAAATGCACCTATCATTCTTTCCTTTGCAATTCTAAAAGTCAGTTCTCCAGGAGAATTCAAAAATTTGCCAACAAAGCACTGCAGGTAGTGGTGTGAGAAGAGAAGTTGCCAGATGCTGCTGCAGCTGGCCTTCGTCCCACACACTGAGGCACCAGCTTTGAGCAAAGGGATGCTTGATTCCCTTTTTGAGAAGACATGTTTTTTTGTGCCAGTAAATATGCATTAAACTCTTAACAATGGAGGGAGGCATTTGGTCTTGCCTTGTTTCCATTCTCCGTTCCAGCTCCTGGTTTTGGGTTCCCTCTAATGCAGAGCCTGGGAGGCAGCAGTTGGTAGCACAAGTGATGAGGTCCTTACAGGACGCCGGGTTGCCTTCCCTGCTCTGGGCTTCAGTGCATGGGAACATGTTCTGTCTCTAGTTCTGTCCCCAAAGAAAGAAAGAAAAACTCTTTAAACTTTTAATCGTAAAAAAAAAAAAAAAATAAAAACTTTCAAGCACTTAAACATTTCTGTTTCAGGAAGAACAGATATTCTGGGGATGGCATAATGATGTCCACGTGTTTGACACAAAGACACAAACTTGGTTTCAACCAGAAATTAAAGTAAGTGTTGCAAAAAGTTAACTGTATACTTTTGTTTTCTTTTTTTTTAAAGATTTATTTTTATTATTTTTTCATTGGAAAGGCGGATATACAGAGAGAGGAGAGAGAGAGAGGAAGATCTTCCGTCCGATGATTCACTCCCCAAGTGAGCGCAACGGGCCGATACTATGCCGATCCGAAGCCAGGAGCCTCTTCCGGGTCTCCCGCACGGGTGCAGGTTCCCAAAGCTTTGGGCCGTCCTCCACTGCTTTCCCAGGCCACAAGCAGGGAGCTGGAAGGGAAGCGGGGCTGCCGGGATTAGAACCGGCGCCCATATGGGATCCCGGGGTTGCAAGGCGAGGACTTAACCACTTGCGCCACCGCGCCGGGCCCTATACTTTTGTTTTCATTGATACATTTGACATCTACTTTGTAGCAGGTGACTTGGATATTAGTAATAGGGTTTGTCATCACAGAATCCTCCTGAATGCCCACCAACACTTCTTTTCATCAATGACACATTTTCTTCAGGTCAGCTAAGATTTACTAGACAACATCTTTTTTTTTTTTAAGATTTATTCATTTTTATTGGAAAAGCAGATATACAGAGAGGAGGAGAGACAGAGAGGAAGATTTTCCATCCAGTGATTCACTCCCCAAGTAGCTGCAATGGCTGGTGTTGCATGAATCCGGATCCAGGAGCTTCTTCTGGCTTTCCCACTTGGGTGCAGGGTCCCAAGGCCTTGGACTGTACTCAATTGCTTTCCCAGGTCACGAGCAGGGAGCTGGATGGAAAACAGGGCTGCTGGGACTAGAACCGGCGCCCATAATGGATCCTGGCACGTTCAAGGTGAAGACTTTAGCTGCTAGGCCACTGTGCTGGACCCTAGACAACATCTTTTTTTTTTTTTTTTTTTACACAATTTGATAGGCTCTGGGATTCCCCCAGCTCTTCCCCATCCCCTCCCCCCATGGTGGATTCCTTCACATCGTTGCAGTAGTACAGTTAATATCCAGTCATAGTTCCTTCGTTGCAGGCATGTGCTATGCTAATTGTGTCAAAAATAATTGTGTACTTTCCGCCACTTGGTGTTTTACCGCTAAGCTGGAAAGCGTTGATAATGTTTTCCTACATGAGGGTTTTGCCTCTGTGAGAACAGTAATAGTTGTGGTGGTGATGCTTGAGTCTCAGTGTTTCAAACAAGTAGCATTCTATGTTAGTTATGTGGTTACGGTCGCAGACAAATGCAAATGTCTGGGTTGGTTGGTTGGTTTTAAACTATTTGAATTCTGATTCCTCCAAAGTTTTGAATGTCTGTGAAACATCACATTTCAAAAATAAGAAAGGAGAAATCTGATTTTGTTTCAAGATAAATATGAATATGGTAGAAGAATTCTTCCAATGTTTCAGATCAGGAATGGGTAATAATAAACATTTTGTTTTGCTTGGAGTGGTCCGAACCAGAACACTTCAGTCTTCTCTCTCATTTAAGTGCTCTGTGAATAATTATCTAAATTACTGCTTATCAGGTTTACTTCAGCACAATTATTTACACCTGAGTAGTTGCTGAACTGGAATGTTCTTTCAGTTGGCATACAACATCTGTTGCAAGGCACTCACCAGGAGCAGATTTCGGCAGAAAATTCGGCAGAAAATTCTTCCTTCAAATTTCATCCATTCATCTACCCGTTATACTCGTTTTACTAGAATTAAAAGTTTGTCTGAAAAAAGATTTACATTTATTGACGGTAAAACTTGAAGAAGGTGAAGAGCTCAAGGCGGGAGGGATTTCGCACAGAGATTAAGCTGCTGCCTGGGACACCCACATTCCATACGGGAGTGTGGGCTTGGGTCCTGGTCTTGGCTCAACTTCTGATCCAGCTTCCTGTTAGTGAAGACCCCCAAGGCAGCAGGTGATGCGTAACTCGTAACTCGGGAGGTTGGGTTCCCACTAACCACTGGGAGATGCAGGTGGAGTTCTGGGCTGCTGGCTGCAACCTGGGCACAACCCTGTCCGCTTCAGGCACTTGAGGAGTGAGCCAGCAGATGGGATGTCTTTGCCTGTCTTTTTGCCTTTAAATGCACAAAATATTTTTTACAGAAAGAGTTTCAGTAAAAGATACGCCAAAAGTGAAGTTCTGAGCTTGAGACACTGAGTCTTAGGGTCATATTTCATGTTATAGAGTTTGAAATCATGGCATCGTTGTCTGGTGCTCACTCTTGCTGTTAACTATGTGTGTGTGTGTAAGAGAGAGATTTTTAAGTTCATGCATTTCAAATGAAAATGTACAGATGTACAGGAAATCTTAATTTGCTGATGATTTCAAGCATTTAAGAAGAACAAAGTGAAGATCAGGGGAAAAACTTTCATTCTTGCAGAACAATATTTGTCTATACTTACTGGCATTTGTAATGTGCTTTTCCATTAGGATTTTTAATGAACTTAGTGGTAAGGTGTGTTTTGCTCTGAGTGTGCGAATGTGACTTTATTATAACTGTTACAAGTCTTTGCTCTCTTCTGATCTCTGCTTACAGGGTGGAGTTCCACCACAGCCACGAGCCGCGCACACGTGTGCAGTTCTTGGAAATAAGGGTTATGTCTTTGGCGGACGTGTTTTGGTCAGTGGTCTTAATTAAATGGTATTTTTATGTTTGAGTTTTCTTATAAGAACTTATCCTCTGATTTGTGGAACAACTAATTGAGTGTTCAAATAATCTAGAGAGTAAAATGACATTTCTTAGTTTTTATTCATCTGCTCTTTCCAAAATAGACCATGCAACAAGCAATCACAAATGGTTGTAAGTCACGTGTTCTTGAGGAAAAATCCTTTGCTTCATTGCAGTATCAGAAATGTTTGATTTTCATCATCTAAATGCTAGTAATACAAACCCATGGATTCATTTCCCATTTGACACATACTCAGGAGCACTGTGTTAAATTTGTTAATGTTTCACATTGTTTTTTTACTTAAACTTCTGATGATAAGTAAAATGGAAACAGTCAATAACCCCAAAATTTAGCCAATAAGAAATATAAAAGAATGACCACTTTAACTCACTTTTGTTTTAGCAAACTAGGATGAATGATTTGCACTACCTAAACTTAGACACCTGGACTTGGTCTGGAAGGTAAGTTGAAAGTCCAAGTACGTTTGAATCTGCAGGCATTTGTGAAAAAGGGATGGGCACAATCCAAGTCTGGCACCCCAAAATCAAAACAGTTTTTTTTCTTGCTTCAGTTTGATGGCTAAACAAGGAATATACAGATTTACATAGAGTTTGTTTCTTTTTTTAAAAGAATTATTTTTTATTTTTATTACAAAGTCAGATATACAGAGAGGAGGAGAGACAGAGAGGAAGATCTTCCATTCAGGAACTTCCTCCATGTCTCCCACATGGGTACAGGATTCCAACGCTTTGGGCCTTCCTCGATTGCTGCTTTCCCAGGCCATAAGCAGGCCTGCCAGGATTAGAACCAGCACCCCTATGAGATACCAGTGCATGCAAAGCAAGGACTCTACCTGCTAGGCCATGGTGCCAGACCCTAGAGTTTGTTTCTTAACAAACTGTATGCGTGAAAATACTATCATTTGAAAGTTGATCATGTGTTTATATTAAGTACTCTCCAGCATACTGTTCAGTAGAAGAGATGAAGGAGTAATGGATTAGGATCACCTTAGGGGAAATAGATGAAAATTGCACTTTATTTATGGCTCAAAATATATATTTTATTTATTTTTTTTTTATTATTTTCTCATTGGAAAGGCGGATATACAGAGAGGAGAGACAGAGAGGAAGATCTTCCGTCCGATGATTCACTCCCCAAGTGAGCGCAACGGGCAGATACTATGCCGATCCGAAGCCAGGAGCCTCTTCCGGGTCTCCCACGCGGGTGCAGGGTCCCAAAGCTTTGGGCCGTCCTCGACTGCCTTCCCAGGCCACAGGCAGGGAGCTGGAAGGGAAGCGGGGCTGCCGGGACTAGAACCGGCACCCATATGGGATCCCGGGCGTGCTAGGCGAGGACCTTAACCACTTGCGCCACCGCGCCGGGCCCCAAAATATATATTTTAAAATAAAATAAGCAAATAAAGATACTTCAGATCATGAGAAAGTGAAATTGAAACATCAGTGAGTGCAAAAAATTTTGAAACCCATGCATGTTTTCATAATGAACATTTTTTATGTACTTTTTGAAGACACTTCCTGTTTAATTACCAATTTGGGTATCCATGTAGTGAGATGGAGTACAAGCTATGTATTATTCCAAAATTTGTACATCATTAAAAACAAAGCTTTGAACGTATAAGAAGAAAATATAAACATTATCTTGAAAAGTTGACTTGATGGACCTGGCATGATAGCGTAGCACTTAAGGTCCTCTTGTCTTCAATGCTCCAGGATGCAATATGGGCACTGGTTCTAATCCCGGCTGCTCCACTTCCCATCCAGCTTCCTGCCTGTGACCTGGGAAAGCAGTCGAGAATGGCACGGAGCCTTGGGACCCTGCATCCACATGAGAGACCTGAAAGTTCCTGGCTCCTGGCTTGGCGCAGCACTGGCCATTATGGTCACTTGGGGAGTGAATCATCAGATGGAAGATCTTCTCTGTTTCTCCTCCTCTCTGTGTATCTGACTTTGTAATAAAAATAAATAAATCTTTAAAAACATATATCTAAAGAAAGCAAGAATACTAGTAAGAAAAAGATAATCCATATGCTGGCGTTGTTAATAAATATATGAAAAATACATTTTACAAATGTTATATATGATTTACATATAACAATTATGTAACTTATATATCTAGTTTCATAGTCTATGATTATTTTATCCATATTATATTAATTTATATTATATTTATAATATAAAAATTTTCTATTTAATAAATATTTATATACATACATTTGTGCTTATTACATGCAAATATATTTATATACAAAAAGATAAGTAGACAGATATTGATAGACACATAGTTAGATTTATGTATCTAATTTAAAAGTCAGAGTTGCAGAGAGAAGGGGAGAGAAAGAGATCTTCCATGTGGCAGGTCACTCCCCAAACAGGTGCTGTGGCCAGAGCTGATCCTCTAGCAGGGAGCTGAATCAGGAAGCGAGTAGCACGGCTTTAATCAGTGCCTATATGAGATGTTAGTACTGCATGTATCGTATATTTTTTAAAAATGTATTTTTTTTATTTCAAAAAATTTTGTAAAGGGAGACAGAGCTCTTCCATCATTGATTCACTTCCCAAATGGCCATAGTGGCTCAGCCTGTGCTTGATCCAAGCCAGGAGCCTGGAGCTTCCTCTGAGTCTCCCACGTAGGTGCAGGGGACCAAGCACTTCGGCCCATCCTTTATTGTTTTCCAGGAGCATTAGCACATGGATAGGAAGTGGAGTAGCCAGGACTCTAATCAGCTCCCAGAGGGGTTGCCAGCTCATAGGTAGCAGCTTGACTTGTTATACTACAATGCCAGCCATTCTATCTTTTCATTATATGAGGGAACTATATTTGTTGAAAAAATTCCACAAAATGTCAGTTGGGTATAAAAAAGGTTGTGGGGGGATGGGGCCCAGCACGATAACGTAATGGTTAAGGTCCTCACCTTGAACACACCAGGATCCCAGATAGGTGCCGGTTCTAATCTCAGCAGCTCCACTTTCCCATCCAGCCCCCTGCCTGTAGCCTGGGAAAGCAGTCGAGAATGGCACAGAGCATTGGGACCCTGCACCCACGTGGGGGACCCGGAAAGAAGTTCCTGGCTCTTGGCTTCAGATTGGCGCAGCACTGGCCATTGTGGCCACTTGGGGAGTGAATCATCAGATGGAAGATCTTCCTCTCTGTCTCTCCTCTTCTCTTTACATCTGCCTTTCCAATAAAATAAATAAATCTCTTTTAAAAAAAAAGATTGTGGGACTGAGTGTAAGATCCTATTTACAGATTTTTAAATAAATATTTTATATGTACATTAAACTATAGTGGTTAAGGACTTAAAAGGTGAAAGGTACATAAAATTATGATTATTTTTCTTATTAGCACTCTTTTAAAATTTTTTTTTGCAGTTGTTCAATATTTTATAACCAAACTGTTTCTTATAATTGATTTTTAAAAAATATTTTCATTTAGAAAAAAATAATTTGCATCTTCCAAAAATTGCTAATGCCGTTCTGGAGTCTACCAGAGGAGAAAGTTTTTTTTTTTTGGTTTTTTTTTTTTTTTTTTGGTTTTAGCATGTTTTTATTAATCATTTTTTTTTGAGACATGCAATATTCTTTTGTAAACTTAATACTAGGAACAGAATGGTGTGCTTATGTTTGTTTTGAAACTAGTGTAGCTAGCATTTTCTTTTCTTTTTTTTCTGACATAGTTGATTATGGCACAAAGGGTCAATGGCTACAGGAAAGTGGGTAAGACCATTGTTTCCACACTAATATCATCATTTTCTTTCTTTTTTTTTTAAGATTTATTTATTTATTGGAAAGTCAGATATACAGAGAGGAGGAGAGACATAGAGGAAGATCTTTCGTCCGATGATTCACTCCCCAAGTGAGCGCAATGGCCGATGCTAAGCCAGGATCCAGGAACCTCTTCCAGGTCTCCCACACAGGTGCAGGGTCACAAGGCCTTGGGCCATCCTTGACTGCTTTCCCAGGCCACAAGCAGGGAGCTGGATGGGAAGTGGAGCTGCTGGGATTAGAACCGGCACCCATATGGGATCCCGGTGCATTCTAGGTGAGGACTTTAGCTGCTAGGCCACGCCGCCGTGCCCTAATATCATCATTTTCTCCCCTGTATCTATCTGGGTTCAGAAGTGAAACAAAGGGAGAAGCCCCACCCACTCTCCGACCCATCCCAGGTCTGCAATGGGGGACTCCGAGGGTCCTGCTCAAGCAGTTTTGATAGTTCAACAGTTCTGGATTGCTGCCAATCTCACTGTTCCAAGCACAATGAAATCTCTTCAGAATCCATTGGCTGATGTGGTCTCTTCATGGTTGGGTTTCTGAGATCGGCAGTTCAATTGGAGGGATCTCCAAAGAAACTTTGTCTGAGCTTTCCCAGACCTGATTCTTGTGTGTGCTTGCCAGTACAGGGTCCAGCACCGTCCGTTGCCCAATCAGCTTATATACATGCTGGTCGTTGCAATTGCTGGGTCACTTCTGTCTCCAGCCCTGTCTTCCACACGAACCAGTGGTTGTTGCAGTCCAGCCTGATCCTGCCCACTTCATACTCGGCCCTCACGCAAACCAGTGGGAGCTGCAGCCTGGTCCACAGGTGTTGTAGCCCTGCCTGGTCTGGTCTGCCCCCATCTGAACTCACGCTCTCCAGTGGGAGTGATTGTCCAGCAGGGGAGCCCACTTTCCCCCTACCAGCTTTGCTACCTTCCTCCCTGGTTCTCACGTGTGCTGTTTTTGGGCTCTGCTGCCCAGTCTGGTACGGCTCACCTTGCCTTGGCATTCCGTATAGTACACTGGTTTTTGTCGCAACCGACCTGGCCCAACCCACACTCTGTTCTGCTATTCAGATTCGCCAGTGGGTGGTGTAAACTGGTTCAGCCTGAGCTGCCCCCAACCTATAATAAGTGTATGCCTGTGGGTATCTTTCTCTGGCCTGGTCTGAGTTGCTCCCTATCGTGGTTCTTGCACTCACCTGTAGGGACTGTGTCCAGACAGAGGAGTTTACCAAGCTCCTCCATCAGAACCTCTCCCTATGCCAGATCTTGTGCATACTGGTGGGTCCATGGGCCAGCCCTGCTAAGCCCACCTCCTGTCCTGGTAGGAACAGAGAGTGGTCTTTCCTTGCTGGCCTTCAGTCCATTCCAGTTCTTACTCCTGGATGTTTCAGCCCAGCCAAGGCTGGTCCATACCCAGACACTGCTGACACATGGCTCAGTAGGGGCAGAGACCTAGCCTAGTCCATCCTGTATCTACCCAGGTTCTCCAGAGCATAAGGTGGTGCTGGTGTCTAGCCTGGTTAGGAGTGCCCAGCCGCAGTCCACACTTGTGCCAAGGGAGATTGCAGCCATATCCAGACCAGAATGCAACCCACAGTCTGACTCATGCACTCACCAGGGGAACCCCAACCTAGCAAGGGTGTACTTTTTTTTTAGGATTTATTTATTTATTTATTTATTTATTGAAAAGGCAGATTTATTTATTGGAAAGTCTTGGGCAGTCCTTGACTGCATTCCCAGGCCACAAGCAGGGAGCTGGATGGGAAGCAGGGCCGCTGGGATTAAAACCAGCACCCATATGAGATCCCAGTGCTTTCATGGTGAGGACTTTAACTGTTACACTATAGTACCGGGCCCACAAGGGTATACTTTTACAGCTCCCCAACCAGGTCTCTTCCGGGACCTAGATTATGCAAGTGCCAGTGGTTACTCTGACCACGTTGGGTTATAACCCCTCATCTGTCTCAACCTTTGCCTTTGGTGCTGTGGCCTAGTATCCCTGGCTCATGCAGACCAGTCGGTGTAAGAGCCTAGTTCGGCATGTCCTGTGCTCTATCCTGATTTCTATCTTGTGAGTTGAAGTTTGTTCAGCCCTGTCCTGTCTGTCCCCTTCCAGTTGCAGCTCAGCCCACCCTACATCTTATTTTAGGATGCACATTCAGGTGCTACTGCCTTGACCTTCCCAGACTGTTGTGGGTTCCTTTACCCTTAAGTGATGGTAGGTTCCATGGTCACACCTAGCTCATCCCATCGCCATTCCATCTGGTGAGCTAACCAGCAGTACTTGTATTTCCACGGGGTTTGGTCCACACTTCCTCTACAGAATCTACCCCCTGGGCCCGGTGCAATAGGGTAGTGGTTAAGGTCCTCGCCTTAGGGTTCTAATCCTAGCAGCTCCACTTCCCATCCAGCTCCCTGCTTGTGACCTGGGAAAGCAGTCGAGAATGGCACAGAGCATTGGGCCCCTGCACTCGCATGGGAGACCCAGAAGGAAGTTTCTGGTTCCTGGCTCCTGGTTTCAGATTGGTGCAGCACCAGCCTTTGTGGTCACTTGTGGAGTGAATCATCAGACAGAAGATTGTCCTCTCTGTCTCTCCTCCTCTCTGTACATCTGCCTTTCCAAAAAAAAAAAAAAAAGTAATTCTTAAAAAAAAAAAAAAAAAAGAATTTACCCCCAGACCTGGTTTTCTTGTGTGCTGGTTGGTGTTTTTACCCTGCCTTGTGTGACTGTCCCCTGTTCTACCACTCAGTCAGGTACTGGCACCCAGCTCTTCCAGACAGGCCCCCAGCGGTAGCTTTTCTGTGGACTGGTGTGTGGCAGTCTGTGATGCTCTACACTAACAGCCCATCTCAGGATTCCCATGTGGGCTGGTGAATTTGTCTGGCCCAATGGCTCTTAGGGACTCTTTCCTCCAAACCACCGTGTCTCAGTCCTCACCCTTGCCAGAAAGTTCTGTGACTTTGTTGCTGGGAATCACTCAGAATTACTCTCTCATCTACACTCACACTGGCCTTATCCATGGATGTCCCTAGGCAGCAATTATATACCCTAAAAACCCTCAGAGCTTTCCACCAGGCAGCCATCAGGCAGAGCCTGTCACCCCTTGGTGCGCTGGCCACCCAAACCTAGGACTCGGTCACCACCTAGCAGCAGTGACTTTGGCCTGAGTCCCCAGCATTGAGTCAGCCTGGCTGGGACACCCTCCACAGCCACCGCACTGCAGGGGCTCCCTTTGCCCAATCCCATGCTGAACACTGCCCAAACTCTTCCGGTCGCCAGAAGATAGCTAGCATTTTCAAGGAAAGGTTCTACTTCAAAAAATTGTCCAGAGAAAAATAACAGCAAAACTGCAGCAAGACCCTTATCCTTGGGGAAAGTGCCTAGAAATACAAAGTCATTGTAAAACAGCAGTAATATTTGAAATCATAAACACAAGTGTACTGAAAAGCCAGAGAAGGCTGTTGCTTATGCAACAGAAATGAAGTGGCCGTTCCCCGAGGAGGTGTTTTCACTGTCATTCTGTGTTCTGGGACATGTTGGACTCTACGTCCCATGGAAACAAATTGTTTTCATTCATCCAAGAATTTGAGAATGTTTATTAAATGTTCATCAAGGTGGGATTTGTAAATTGAACTTGTGTTCAAAGCAGTGAGGGCAATTTCTTTCCATTATGAGCTCAGAGTATCTCTCACCTGTTGCTTGATTCACGTAGAACCTACATTTTAACTCTCTTCCCCTGACCACAGGATTTCTGCTAATGGAGAAAGCCCAAAACATCGGTCCTGGCACACCTTAACACCCATATCTGATGATAAGCTTTTTCTATTTGGTGGACTAAGCGCAGATAATATTCCATTAAGTAAGTCACTTGATTTTAGTCTGTTGTCATTATCTCACTGCTTTTTCTTAACTCTACCTCATACTTGTGGTGAAGAAGGCCTTCTTTTTTCCTATTGTATTTGTTTGCCTCTGCCCCCTCTAAGATGCTTGTGATAAAAATTATAAGGAGAGACGGACACCTCTGGCCTCGCATGTGCTTTGCTCTCCATGGCCTCCTGTTTCCCAGAGAGGGAGAGAGGAAGGGGGGGTCAGACCTGGGTGAACTGAAGCCACTGTCCATTCTCATATTCTGTGATTCTGGGGCCTCTGGAATTTTTATCTGGACAGTTATCCCATTGACTGGGATTGGAGTGAGGAGAGCGCCCTTCTCTGGAAGATTCTGGCAATGTAAAATGGGAAGGCCCCTGGCTTTCTTTGTTTCAAAATTATGTCAGGGAATATGCTTACCTGGAATTCAAACAAATAAAACCTCTTATCAGTGTGTATCTCAACAACTGTGTGTCTTGTCCTGGCAGTTTTCTTAAGTGACTGAATTGTGGCATCAGAGCTAAACAGATAACCAAGAACTTCCACCCCTTAGATGTGTTAAATGCGTTTTCGTAATGGAGGCACTTTCTATGGTTAGAAAAGCTTCCTTAAGAAGCATTGTGTATCATAGAATCTGGAAACAACTATTTGGATTTCAACAAAGCTTTACCGAGCGTGCGCAGTGCCTTCGCCAGGCTGCTGGCCACAGACAGGCTACGGAGATCCCTGAAGAAGCAGCAGGGTTCTGGGGGTGTCAGTTATTCCTGCAGATGATCATGCTCCCCTGGTTTGTGAGATTTTTTTTTTAAGTTAAAAGAGATTCTCTAAATAACCAAAACTCATATCTGTAAGTTTCATCAAGGATTATTAATGCCGTATCTTCATGAGGTCCAGTTCATTCCTTTTTGCTGGTTGTGATCACATCTGTGGTAACTTAGATGTCCTCACTCTTAGTTTCTTCCCTGAGGATTCAGTTTAAGATTTTACAGGAATACCAAGGAATTGTTTTTAGTTTTTTGACTGTAGTTAGGTTTAGAATGTCCGGTATTTTTTTCCCAGCAATGCTTGCTTACGTATGTGTGGGGAAGTTGATAGACTCTAGGAGTTAATTTAGAATGATTCAACACCAAGAATGAAACAAACTGAAGATTAAGAGTGCGTGTGGGAAAATCATGATAGTGTTTTCATCTGGAAATATGTGGGAGTTGATGCTTTTATAGAGGTTTATGGCAAAATATGCATGCACACAAGAGGTAGTCATTTGATTATAACCTTACCAACTTGGAAAATGCTTCAAATTATATTCCTAATCTCAGTTTCTGAACTGTCATCATGCAGGTGATGGTTGGATTTATAATAGCATAACAAATTGTTGGAAACAGCTTGTGTATTTACCTAAAACAAGACCCAGGTAAGTCTAGAAATTGACAGATAATGAAATAGTTAAGAGTTTTAAAGTATTAAGATACGCCTGTAAATGTATAGTATTTAACCATATTATAAACCATCAAGAAGTATAGCTTTCAAATGAGTTTGATGTCAATTCATCATTTTGATTTAATCTGACTGCTAGATATTATTCAATTTTTTTTTCGTATTTACATATTTGAAAATGTTCTTTTAGGTAAATGCATTATTTTGCTTGATAAATGTGCAAAAGCTAAGATAATTTAAAGTCTTTTATAATGTCTTTTAAAATATTAGGTTTTAATAAGTAGATAAGAATGAAGCTGACTTTAATAGTAATTTATAGTTTTTAAAAGTTACAAGTAATGAAAAAGGCATTAGATGGCATATTTTTATTGTTAACTGATAATATTTATTAATGTAAACTTTTTGAAAAAAAAGTGTTATAGTATTAAATTTGTGAAAACAGCATACTCATTAGATTTTAAAGAAAACTGTTAATACTGTAATTGTTATTTTTTGAAGTTTGACTAGTTAATGAAATTATCTTCATAGGAAATTTAGATTTTGTATATTATTATTATGACTAATAATACATTTTATTCTTTTTATGTCATGTATTTTAGAATTTTTTTTACTATAGATTACCCTAGTATAAAATCAATTTAATGATATATATTTTTGTTATTTATAATAGCAATCATAAATTTATAACAATTATAAATTATAATAACAAGTAATTTATTTGAGAAAGACCTGAAAATATTTATATTTTGTTATATTTACCTCCATGGATATGCAAAGTATTCATAAGAGTTTATCATAATTATATGCATGATTTATATATTTTTGTGTATAAAAATTGATTAAATGTGATATTTTAGCAATTTTTTTTGATATATGTATTTGTTTTTAATTTAAGCAGTTTTGTCTTAAGATCTAGGAGACCAAACTTCTAGTCCTTGCTCAGCTATTATGTAGCACGTTGGCTTTGAAAAGCCACTTAAAGAAATTTAGCATTCATGTCTTTGTGAAATAACCATGCTGGACTAGATAGTCTCTCAGATTCTACCAGGTTTTTTGTTTAGTTGAAATGAATGCATTAATTATAGAAACAAAATGTTTACCTTTTAAATGCTTCTGTTCTTTTTCAACCTGTAATAAGTAACTAGAGCAACACAACTATAATCAATAATATACCAGTTAGAAGTAGAGCTGTGTAAAGAAATTTTATTTGATTCAGCTGATGTGTGATGTCAATAATATGCTTTGTTAGAATGTTTAGGTGATAAGTTTAGAGCAGCTGTGAGAGGACATAAACTCAGACTGTAGAAAAACAGCAGGTTGCAAGCTAGCTGTCACCAAGACCAAGGCAGGGGAGGCTGTCCAGTATTCTTCGGTGACGAAACCAAGGCCAGAGTTTCCCTCAGGCAGATAAGACAGAGGCAGATCTATCTTCAGGTATGAGGTGAGGAGGAGAACAGGTGGGGTACAGTTGAGTGTAAGGAGAGCATAAATGTGTATTTACGTATTCTAATTTTTAATGAAAATTATGATTTGGTTAAGATCAAATGTGTTTAATGCAAAATTTCATGAGTCATTATTTGAAGTGTTAGCTGCACAATTCTCCTGTTAGAACCTGTCAGTATCTTGGGGCAGTCCCTCTTTGCAGTAGGCATGTGAAGATGTTGAACAGCCTCACTGGTTTCTTACCTACACACGAATGGCACCACCTGTTCTTGTGTCCACCAGACATTTCTGCAGACAGCATCAGGTGTCCCCTTGAGAATCATCCCTGACGGAGAACCACTGTTCCGCAGTAGCACTCTTTCCTCCAGGCCACCTCTTTGACACAACCAGGCTTATTTGGGGAAAAACACACACATCACATACCACACACCATACCACACACACACACACCTGTGCAGCCATATCTGATACCCGGTAGTTGGCAGGGATCCTGGTGGATGTGTCTGTCACAAGTTGGTAGATAAAGCCTTAAATACAGTCAGATCCCACTCAGACGGCCAAGGTTACATATCCCCTGCTCCCCAGGGAACTGTGCTGTTCTTTTCCATAAGGGTGTGCAGTGTATTCTACCCAATTTACCCAGTCTCCAGCCCCACCCCCACCACTAGTCTGGGTTCTCGCTGACAATTCAGATCAGTTTAGGTTCTAACATATGATTTGGAGAATTGGGCAGAGTATTTCACCAACACTATGTCTAATAACTCAGTTTTAATCTGAGTCCAAAGTGCATTTGTCATTGAATGTGTGCATGGGTGTCTGAGGAGAGTATTTAATAAATTGTGCATAATCCTAACTATTTGCATTTGTGGAACTTAAATGAACTAACTGTATTAAAAACAAGTTACATGAAATAAAATAAATGATCATGTGTAAATGTTGGGGCTTACTAAGAAAAGTAATCAAAGTGCTCATAGAGTAAAAGCAGTAACTGTGAAATTTCTGATGTATCCTCTGAAAGGGAGGAATTTCCATGTACATCTTTCTCAGAGTTAGAGCCTCTGGAAGTATTGAACATTGTAAAATTTCTCTTGGTAAATAAGGTGTAATTGGAGATAAATATTAGAACTATTAGAACATTTACCAAAGAACAGTGGATGCTCTATGCTACAAAAAGATGTAGATGTAATAATTATTGAATAAATTATGTTTATTATGTTTTGCTGAACTTTCTAGTTTTAGGGTACCTTGTGGGTACTCAAAAGGAGATATTTTTAAGGAGAAGCATAAAATTCGCATACTCAAGTGCCAGTAATGTGCTGGTAAATAGTTGAAAATCTCTCTCCAGGGAGAAATAAAAGCTGCAATGCATAGCTTTTGCCTGTTGGAGGCGTGACTCCCTCCAGCATCACCCATTTTGGGCGACTGAGGTGATCTCGCTGAACATGGAGCTAAAGCAGCCAATGAGCCGGTTCCAGCACACCACTGTGATAGTGTGAGACCTCCCAGTTGTCTTAGTTAGCCAGAAGACTATGAAACAAGAAAAGGAGTATGCAGAGTGGTTGGTCTCAAGCTGCAAGCTAAGAAAGTGTGAAATGGGTATATCCATGAGAAAGAGGACTAAACTGGGATGATATATCCTGGGATGAGGGTAGGCCTGATTTTAGGGCTTATTCTAAGATAATTATTCTCTAAGCCTTAATGAAAGGCAAATAAAAGTTTAGAGATGGATACAAGCTTTTCCCTTAAGAGATGCAAAGCTGAGTAGAGGTCTCATTTGGGAAGAGGTGAGAAATGAGGCTTGATAGGAAAAAGAACAGTTGATTATAGCTATCAAGCTGGGAAAAAATACTTGTTAATGGCATAGGCGGTTATTGAGCTGTAAATTTCCATGGTTAAATATAATATTTGAAAAATATTAGTAAGTAGTTCTATGTGATGGTGAAAGGGCAGTTAGAAACAGAAAAACTGGGGACATGTGGTGGAGTGCATCCAGGGCTGTGATCAGTGTGACAGCAGAAACGTGAAAGGAATGCCCAGCTGGATTTGCTGGGCTGTGGAGAACAGAAAGCAGGAAAAGCAGTGACAGTGGTAACCAGGCCAAAAGTAAGGAAGCTTGCAGAGGTGCTGGCTTCAGGATAAGTTGATCAGTTACTTTTTAATTCATAGGTAATATTATGAGTTAGAAGGCTTAGGAAATAGTTGGGGATAAAAAAGAATTGCTAGAGTCATCTTAATTGGGATGATATGATTTAGTGAACTCTGAAGGAATCTTTAAAATATCACCATTTGAGGATATGATAAAGGTTCAAGTTCAGTCATGCCTCTTTTGAAATGGATTGAATTGTAGAGTATACAGTTTAGAATCAGTTTGTATGTAATGAATCGTTCCTTCATTGACAGTATTTCACTTACAACTCTCAATCATAGGTTATGGCACACAGCCTGTTTGGGAAAAGAAAATGAAATAATGGTATTTGGTGGAAGCAAAGATGATTTACTTTCCTTGGACACAGTAAGAAAATCTAAGTATTTCCTTTGAGAAGCAATGTTCTTCAAATTAATGGCTATTGAACAAGAATGTTAATATTCTAGTTTTATAAAACATGAGAGGGCAGGAAATCTGTGCCATAGAGTGATTGATCTTCAGAGCAGGTGCCTTTTGTGAAACACATGAGGACACTGGGTTTACAAAACAGGATGGATCTTTAATTTCATTAGCCGCGTTGTTAAAAAGAATATCTTTTTAAAGAAATATGTAATTTATTTTATTTTTATTGGAAAGACATTCACAGAGAAGAGAGGCGAAGAGAAAGATCTTCCTTCCACTGTTTCACTCCCCAAGTGGCTGCAATAACCAGTGCTCAGCTGAGCCAAAGCCAGGAGCTAGAAGCTGCTTCTGCGTCTCCCACATGAGTCCAGGGTACCAATGCTTTGGGCAATCCACTGCTGTCTTCCCAGGCCACAAACAGGGAGCTGGATGGGAAGTGGAGCAGCCAGGACACTAACTGGTGCCTGTATGGAGTGCTGAACTGCAAAGTGGAGGATCAGCCAGTTGAGCCATCACATTGGCCCCAAAAAGAGTCTTTAATGGATGACTTCTTATTCTTTTTTTTCCTTTAAACTTCACCATAGTGTGGATATTGTAATTTTATTCAAGTGAGATATTTATATGTGGTATGCAATACATGTGAAGAAATATAATGTGTCTGTTAAGCACGTCAACAGTTATCTATGAAGTTTACAAACTAATTTAAGAACTAGATCACTGATTCTGTTGAAGCTATTTTTTCATTCCTTCTTAATATTATTCACTGTTTTCTCCCTGCAAAGACAAAATCATTTTGTTGAAATCATTAAAGTACAGTTTCAAATTGTTTTACTTGAAAGACAGGATTACAATGAGAGAGCGATGAGAGAAATCTTCCCTCTGCCAGTTCACTCCCAAAATGTACAAAACCAAGAGGAGTTTTCGTCCCGGGCTCCAAAGTAGGAGCTGGAGCCCAAAGACTTGAGCCATGCTTCACTGCTTTCCCAGGCCATATACAGGGAGCTGGATCAGAGTGCAGCAGCTGAACCATAAACCTGCACTTGTGGTACCATAGATCTGGTATCACAGTCGGTTGCTTTACCCGTTACCACACTATGCCGAACCCTTGAAGTGTTTTATTTCCTGCATCTGTTTGAGTTTAAAGCAGTGTAGCTTTAGGGGTAGTTATTAAGTCTGGTGGGTTTTTTTTTTAAGATTTTTTTTATTATTATTATTTTTTATTGGAAAGGCGGATATACAGAGAGGAGAGACAGAGAGGAAGATCTTCCATCTGATAATTCACTCCCCAAGTGAGCGCAACGGCCGATACTATGCCGATCCGAAGCCAGGAGCCTCTTTAGGGTCTCCCACGCGGGTGCAGGGTCCCAAAGCTTTGGGCCGACCTCGACTCTTTTCCCAGGCCACAGGCGGGGAGCTGGAAGGGAAGCGGGGCTGCTGGGGTTAGAACCAGTGCCCATATGGGATCCTGGGCGTGCAAGGCGAGGACCTTAACCACTGCGCCACCACGATGGGCCCAAGTCTGGTGGTTTTGATGCCTGTGTCAGGGTACTGGATTTCAGCATCCAGCTCTGGCTTTTGATTCCATCTTCTTGGTAGTGTAGACTCTGGGATGCAACAGTAATGGCTCAAGTCATTAAGCTTCCGCCACCCACGGGGGACTGCATTGAGTTTCTTCTTCCAGGTGCAACCATGGCAGGGTTTTGGAGATGGACTGTCAGTGGAAACGCTTGCTGTCTCTCTCTCTGAATGTCAGAAAGATCAAAGCAATGCACAGTAGCATTTGATGAATTTTGTTCTTCCACCCTTCGCAATTGTAGAAATTCAGGGTAGGGTGGCTGGACTCCTATTCCATACCCACTGGGACAGGAGTTCAGGGGTTATTATGGTCTACTAGGACATACAAGAGCAGAGAGCAGTGAACTGGCCAGGGCCTTCAATGTTGTGGCATGGTCGGCCCACCTGAGCTCAAATACAGAGTGCAACCCAGAGAATCCTGGCTGCCTGTCAGCTCTAGGTATAGTTTTGTCTTCAGAGCTTCTGTACAGAATGGAGAACTCTGAAATAAGTTTAAAAACACAGCTTTGGGCCTGGCACATAGCCTAGTGGCTAAAGTCCTTGCCTTGCATGCTCCAGGATCCCAAATGGGCACCAGTTTATATCCTGGCTGTTCCACTTCCCTTCCAGCTCCCTGCTTGTGACCTGGGGAAGCAGTCAAGGACAGCCCACGGCCTTGGAACGCTGCACCCATGTGGGAGACCTCAGAGAGCCTCCTGGTGCATAGCTTTGGATCAGCTTAGTTCCAGTCGTTGTGGCCACTTTGGGAGTAAGCCAGTGGATGGAAGATTTTTCTGTATCTCCTTCTCTGTGTATCTGCCTTTCCAGTAAAAGTAAATTAATTAAATATTTTTTTTAAAATGCTACTTGATAGTTTAAGTCATTGAGTTTCTGCTGCTCATGTAGGAGCCCAGGACTGCATTTCCAGCTCTTGGCTCCCTGGTCCTAACTCTTAACTCCCAGTTTCAGCCTTTGCTCCAGGCTTGGCCACTGTAGCTATTGTGGCCATTTGAAGAGAGAGAGTGCAAATGTGAGATTTCTGTTTTCCATCAATCTTTCTGTTCCTCTTCTTTCTAATTGTGCCTCTCAATACATTTTATTGATTTAAAAACAATATAGCAAATAAAGCCTTTGGCTAAGATGCCAACATCTCATGTGGATGTGGATTCAAGTCCCTGCTGCTCTGCTTCTGATCCAGCTCCCTCCTAACAGCCTGGGAAAGCAGCAGAGGACAGCCCAAGTGTTCAAGCCCCAGCTACCTGTATGGGAGGTCCTGGCTTCAGTTTGGCCCAGCTCTGGCCATTGGGCCATTTGGAGAATAAACCAATGAACAGAAGATCTGTATATTTTCCCTCTCTGTAACTCTGACTTCCAAATAAATAAATCTTAAAAAAAAAAAAAGAAGAATATTCAGCTATCCACCTACTGTATTCACTTTTAAATGAGAGACGTATCTGAAAAAGTCTTCCAGATGCTGATTTCTAAATTTTTTCTTTTTTTTTTTTCATTTTTCTAAAAGAGAAAAAGCAATCTTCTGTCTGGCGATTTAATCTTCAAATGCCTTCAATATCCAGGGCTGGCCCAGAGTTAAACCAGAAACCCAGAACTCAGTCCAGCTCTCTTAGGTGGGTTGAAGAGCCCCAGGTGCTTGAACCGTCACCTGTACACCCAGGAAGCTGGATCAGAAGCTGAGTAACTGGAGAAGCAACCAGGCCCTTTGAAATGGGATGCAAATGTCCCAGGTGACAACACAGCTACCTGCCCTCCTCAATGCCCAATGCTGATGCTTAAGAATTCTCACAGAATCCTGGTACCATTTGATAAAACAGAAATCGTAAAGGGAGGACTCTAAAATAACGGTCACTTGGAAGAAAACATCTGTTTACTTAACAAGAAACAATTGAACGTCATGACTCTTACCAGCTTTGCCCCATTATTTTTAGGGAAGACCATGATTTTGGCCTTTAAAATGGCAGTTATGTAGTCTTTAAAAAAAATAAGATGTGCTTATTTTTGTTGGAAAGGCAGATGTACAGAAAGAAGGAGAGACAGAGAAGAAAAGATTTTTCATCCACTGATTCACTCCCCAAATGGCTGCAATATTTAGAGCTGAGCTGATCTGAAGCCAGGAGCCAGGCGCTTGTTCTGGATCTCATGCAAGTGCAGGGTCGGAAAGCCTTGTGCCATCCTCCTCTGCTTCCCCAGGTCCTAAGTAGGGAGCTAGATTGGAAGTAGAGCAACTGTATCCTGGACACTGGTGTCCTATATGAGGCCTGGTTAGAGTCCCAGGTCTCCTGTTTCTGATCCAGTTCCCAGCTAATGTACTTAGGAAAACAAAGAAAAATGGTCCAAATACATGGGCCACCCACCTCAGTGGACTTCCAGGCTTCTGACTTTGGTTTGGTCCAGCTATGGCTATTGTGGCCATTTGGAGAATGAATCAATGGATAAAAACTATTTCTTTGTATCTTTCTCTCTCTAACCCTGCCTTTCAAATAAATTACTTTTTAATAAAAAAAAAAAAAAATAAGAAGGGGCCCGCCGTGATGGTGCAGTGGTTAAGGTCCTTGCCTTGCACGCCCGGGATCCCATATGGGCGCCAGTTCTAATCCTGGCAGCCCCACTTCCCTTCCAGCTCCCGCTTGTGGCCCGGGAAAGCAGTTGAGGACGGCCCAAAGCTTTGGGACCCTGCACCCGCGTGGGAGACCCGAAGAGGCTCCTGGCTTCGGATTGGCTCAGCTCCAGCCGTTGCGGCTGCCTAGGGAGTGAATCATCGGACTGAAGATCTTCCTCTCTGTCTCTCCTCTCTGTATATCAGCCTTTCCAATAAAAATAAAATAAATCTTTAAAAAAAAAATAAGAAGTGGAGCAGCTAGAACACGCTCTGACATCCGTGCATGATGTTGGCACTTAAAGTGGGAGAATTAGTCTGTTGTGCCTTAGAGCCCACCCCTCTGTAGCCTATTTTTTAGGTGAAACTTTGGTCATTGAATATTGGTAACCACATACCTAGGTGTCTACAAGTGCATGTTTGTGTGCACACACAAGTGTGTGTAACAGCTGGAGAGATTGCTGCTTAATAGAATTTATTTTGCATTTATAAAATAAACTATTGTTAATGCTCCATAATTTCTGGTACAAGTTTTGATAAGGTTTTTCTATGTTTAATAGGGTCACTGCAATGATTTATTGATTTTTCAAACACAGCCTTACTCACTGCTCAGGTAAGCACATTCAGTGGTTTTACATTTATAGCTAGGAATATTTGGCAGTTTCATCCTCATTTCGGGGAAGAATTATAGTATTTTTCAGATTGTTTATGGCTTGAGAAAAAATGTTTACATCTTTCTGGAGCACAATTAAATTTGTTGGTATTTAATTATATATCCATATCATTTTTAAAATTACACAATAGTGTCACACTTTTGTTTGTAAAATCACTTTTAGTTCATCTGGTAATGGAAACCATACTGTATGTGCTGAATTCGCAGTATTTTTTTCACATTTTAATTTTATGGAAATTACAAGGTGTCTAAATAATATGTGATATACTATACTTATGTGTGTAATACATGATATGCAAGAATTTTTTAACCCCAAAGCTGTTTCATCGCGTTGACACTATGAATTGCAGTGTCCTGGTTTCTACACTCTGCCCTAGAAGAGCATGCGCATACCCAGGGCTGTGTAAGCTTAGCACTTGTATTTGGGATACTTTGGCTTATTAGGTTTGTCGAGTTTGCCTAGCTTGTTGAGATTGCCATAATGGTTCTTCCTGTTGGATTCCCTCAGAGCCTTTTCTGTGCCATGGGAATTTCACTTACTCAATCCCAGCCTTTATGGCACTCTATTATTACTATTATTTTGCGAAACTGATAATCTCCTTGAATAGGATAGAACTTTCCTCTGTGATGGGTTTCCTGCTCTTAAGGCAGTAAGGTAGTGTGTGGTGCACGCTGAGAAAGAGCCTTTGACTCACTTAGCAAACAGTAACAGCAGAGGCCATCTTGGCCAACCTTCCCTTCATTGCACAGGTCCCACAGGAACTAGTGTGTCACCAGACTGCTGGAGTCAATTGGCAGCAGATGTAGGACTCAGAGCATTTGTTTGTACTGGTACACCTGTGAACATTTCAGCCCTCACTGTTTATTCAGAGTTGTCACAGGGCAGGGAGAAAAAGCCTCTGAGAAGGGTGGAGAAAAGTAGCTGTCTGCTGTGTGAGTGCCTGCCAGAATGATGACTAAAGTTAACACAGGAACATTAAATAAGCTGTTTTTAAAAATTGTTCCAGAGATGTGTCTGTATTAATTAAAGCATTTCCATTGAAATAGATGATTTTTGATAGTTTAGTTTCTTTTGGTTTTAGACCCATTTCAAAGAATCAGAGTGGAGTTGTATTTGGAAGATACCACCTCTTTGTGGAATCAGAGGGAACCACACCCCGTGACCCTCTGGGGCGGGAATGCTCTCCTGCTGGTCTGTGTTGCTGCTCTGTTCCTCTCTCTCATCTGTTCTGGTGGACATTCATTGTGTCCGACATGCAAACCCAGCACAGTCATCTAAGAAAGGCATATGGGACCAGCTTGTCACCTGGTGTAAAACTGGGTGGAAGATGTTTGAAGCAGGGGAGGAAAAAGTGACAATTCAGAGAGAAGGCTGAATGGATGCTGAGCTAACTCAAATGTAAAGAAGGTTGTATATTAGAATGGTCTGTTTTGCAGTTAAACTGGATCTTTCCCACTTAAAGAACATTATGTTTGGTAACTTGTATTTTCTGTTTCCATTGAATTCTGGTCAGATACAGTCTTTAAGCATTATCATGTACCATTAATGAAAACAATGCAAAGCAGAACTATTTCAATGTCCAATTTTTACAATTCTTTTAATTTTTAAATTTTTGTTCAAAAATTAATCATTCTGTTTTGTTTTATCTACAGGTCATGTCTTGACTGCATTGGTAAAAATGCTGTTGTTTTGAAAAGCCAGATATCTTTATTACCTCCTAAACTTCTGCAGCAGGTCCTCAAAAAAATAACATTTTGGACTGCTGTTAATCACCGAGAAGAAGAAAGAGTCCAAAAAGAAGAAACAGAAAATAAACATCAGTGAATCAGCAGTGGTTGAATGATTCAAGTCTTTCTGTGTTTAATATTTTTAAACAATTCAATCACATCCATTTGCTCTCCCCTCAACTGCACAGATCACAGTTTATTGAAAGGTTAAAATTTGAAACTAAAATGCTCTGTCGCCGTGATTGTGTGGCATGGGTTCGCTAGAAGATGTTAATGCAGATTAATTTACATTTATCAACCACTCTCCTTAACTTCTTCAGAAATATTCTTTGTGAAAGAACAGGCATCAATAACAGAATTAACTCAACCTGCGTTGTTTACTGGGTGCATCATTCAAGCCTGAGTCTAAGAGATTGCCCCAAGCACTTGGGCGCCGCACCAGTCCTAGCATAATGGCAGATGTAGATGTGAAAACTCTGCTCACTGACTTTGTGAATGGACGCGTTTTCTCAAGCTGATTCAAAATGACTTAAGCTTTTCACTTAATTCAGTTCTTAAATAACTTCTCATTAAATAATTAATGTGAAACAAACAAAACAAAAAAGAAATTAAAAAAATCCAAAAACCAAAAGAAAACAAAAATAAAATAATTAATGTACCTGTGTAGAAGTTACTGAAGAGGCAGACATAGGTGTGGTAAACCACTGGATGCCTGCCCTGGAAGTGGCTTCTCCAGCAAAGTGTTTTTCAGCCTCTCTGGGACTTGCCCTCCCCTTTGAACTGGGGAAGACATGTCTTCAATTATGTCTCCATCACCCCCGAGTTACCGGTTTGTCCAGTGTTTCCATGTAGGGGAGAGGTTTATGACCAGACAGCCTTTGAAATATGGAGAAGCAGTCTAACCATCAGTTTGGGAGACCTGTTTGCCCACATGCTGTGTCAGAAGGTAGTTTCTGAAGTGATCTTTATGTGAGTAATGTGGCCCTTAGGTTGGCCCTGGCTGTTCTGCAGCGTGGCTGCCCAGAGATGTGGAAGGGTTGACGTGCCCTTGGGTTTTCAGTGTTAACACCGACACAGCAACACAACACTGCACTTCATACTTCTCACAGTGGTACTTTGGCCACAACTAAGGCATTTTTCTTTGTTATTCTAGTCCTGCCCTTCCTTTGGATTAGTGATTGCAGTTAATTACTGAAATTCTCAGTGTATAAAGTTACTCTCCATGCTAGCACCATGAAAATTATCTCAGAGATCTATACTATTAAAAAATATATATTTATATACTGAAATATATATGTTATGAAATCAATAGTAGTTTATAGTATTTCAGCAAATTTTGGAGATATATATTTTATATATGTCCTGGATTTTGGATGTGTAAATCTATATATTGAGGCATTTTATGTTTATATTTTATTTATTGTACAAAGTATACAGATTTACTGCTTTCATAGTTTGTTGGTATGAATTAGTCATTACAGTTGATTGTGCAAAGTATTATATGTTTTCATTTTATCCTTATTTTTAGTCTTAATAATAGCTTTGGAGAAGAAATAGCACAAATAATATACATCTTGGAAGTAATCATTTTACTGTGAATGTCAGTATTAGCATTTCATATTAAGGTCAAACAGTGAAAGTTGATTGGATAACGAGAGATTACATTGAGTGGAATGAAAAGCTCAAAAAAAAAAAAAACCCAGAAGATTTAGGTGAGATTTATTTTTATTAATCTGTTTGAAAGGCAGAGAGATCTCCCATCCACCTGCTCCTTCCCAAGGGCCAACAAGCACTGGAGCTTGGCTGAGGTCAATGCCAGGAGCCCAGAACTCAGGCTCGATCTGCCGTGTGTGTGGCAGGGATCCGTCTCCTTGGGCCATCCTCTGCTGCCTTCCAGGGTGCACCTCAGCCAGAACCGACATCAGAGCTGGGACTGAGGGCAGACACCCAGTGTACAAGGAGGCCCAGCACAGGGCTCTTGACAGTGGGCTTCTCCAGCTTCTCAGAAGAGCGCTTCGGCTGTAGGTGGTTTATTTGCAACATTGAACACCAGATTAGCTGCCTCAAAAGATCTATTCTCATCTGGATATTAAGAAAATGAAATCTTAGGGTCAGCACAGTGGGCTTCAGACTAATCCTCCACCTGCAACACCAGCATCCTAAATGGGCACCAGTTTGAATCCCCGCTGCTCTACATTGATCCAACTCCCCACCTACTGCCTGGGAAAGCAGCAGAAGATGGCTCAACCTGGGGCCCCTGTATTAGGAGGATGTAGGGATTCTGGCAGCTGGCAAAGACAGGTTTGGAGTTCAAAGCCTAAGCAGAACTGATTCCTTGTTTCTCACTAGCTGGTGGTTATTCTCAGCTGTTTTGTTGTTGACTCCTTAGTGTTTAGGAGCCTTAGACAGGGACGGTCTTATGCCTGTGCCTCCAAAACCTCCCTTGCTTGGAGGGAGCTTGGGAAGATGATTCCATGAAGTTTGATGGTTCTTTTTTTTTTTTTTTAAGATTTATTTATTCATTGGAAAGCCAGATATACAGAGAGGAGGAGAGACAGAGAGGAAGATCTTCCGTCCAATGATTCACTCCCCAAGTGAGCACAACGGCCTATGCCATGCTGATCAGAAGCCAGGATCCGGGAACTTCTTCCGGGTATCCCACATGGGTGCAGGGTCTCAAAGCTTTGGGCCATCCTTGACTGCTTTCCCAGGCCACAAGCAGGGAGCTGGATGGGAAGTGGAGCTGCCAGGATTAGAACTGGCACCCATATGGGATCCCGGCACGTTCAAGGCAAGGACTTTAGCTGCTAGGCCACGCCACTGGGCCCTTGATGGTTCTTTACATCTAGCTCACGAAATGGGTATGCCATCTATTTCTCAAGGGAAAAGCATCTCCTGAGACCCTTCAGGTACAAGGAAGGATTATTTTAAGGAACTGCTATTTTTAATATGATATATAAAAGAGGAACACATCAAAATTAGTGTACAGTTTTTCAGTTATTGTTTGCAAAAAACAATATTTTAAGACTTATGTATTTTACAGGCCCAGCGCAGCAGCCTAGCAGTTAGTCCTCGCCCAGCCTGCATCGGGATCCCATATGGGCACCAGTTTTAATCCTAGAAACCCTGCTTCTAATCCAACAACCTGCTTGTGGCCTGGGAAAGCAGTCGAAGATGGCCCAAAGCCTTGGGTTCCTGCACCTGTGTGAGAGACCTGGGAGAGGCACCTGGCTTCGGATATAAACCAGTGCCCATATGGGATCCTGAAGCGTGGAAGGCAGGGATCTGGCCATTGAGTCATCATGCTGGTCTCTAGTGATTTCTTTAAAAAGATGTTTATGAGTGCTAGCACAATGGCCGGCCCCATAGCAGCTCTTTTCAACCTTACATCTTTTCCTTCCAAACAGAATCTGCTAGATCAATAGGAACTTACAGTTGGTTTATTTGGGTGCACACAGCTTTGACCTATGTGCATCTTTTTTTTTTCCCTAGTACATTTTTTCCATTTACTGTTTGGCAGCCCCTGCATTTCACACCACATTTCTCTTGTTTGCATACTTTTTATGGGAAAACTTGGATGTCATTCTTACCTGGCCTTTCTGTAGATAAGGGGACTTTTGCTTTGCCTGTGATTTGCTGATTTGAATACAGTATATCTTGGTGTAGTTTGGGCCCCCTGCTTGGGTCTGCAAGTTTTCTGGATTTGTGATTTGGTTTCTGAATTGGAGTCGGGGAAATGGTCGGGAATCATTACTCCAAATGTGTCTTCTGAGCCTTCCTCTCTTTTCTTGTCCTCCTCCCATTCGCATCCCAACTGCCGATTCAGTTTGTGTAGTTGTGCCATGTTTAGTGGCCCTTTGTGTGCGTTGGAGGGGATATGTTTGTTTAGGGTTCTTTTTTTTTCAAAGACTTATTTTTATTGGAAACTCAGATATACAGAGAGGAGGACGAGACAGAGAAAGATCTTCCGTCCATTGTGTAGCCACAATGGCTGGAGCCGAGCCAATCCAAAGACAGGAGTCAAGAGCTTCTTCCGGATCTCCAACATGGGTGCAGGGTTCTGAGCCTTGCGCTGACCTCAGCTGCTTCTCCAGGCCACAAGCAGGGAGCGGGATGGGAAGTGGGGCTGCCAGGATTAGTGCGTGCAAGGACCTTAGCCACTAGTCTCTCATGCCAAGCCCCAGGTGTTTTTGTTTGCTTTTTGGCTTTGGAAGTTTTGCTGTTGTAAACTCAGCAGTTCTTTACTCAGCTGTGTCCAGACCTCTGACAAACCCATCAAAGGCATTTTTCAGTGTTGTTACAGTGTTTTTGACCTCTCCACTTCTCCTAGCATTTGTTTTTATAGTTTCTAGCTACCTGTCTGTTCTTGAATGGTGTCTATCAGTTTGTTTTTAAATTCCCAACATCCCTGCGCTAGTAGAGTCTGTTTACAGTGCTTGCTCTTTGTTCAAATTGTTTGTCTTATAGCATGCCTTGTAGCTTTTTTTGGAGGGGATTTATTTTTATTTGAAAAGTAGATTTACAGAATGAGGAGACACAGTGAAATGGATCTTCCATTTGCTGGCTTACTCTTCAAATACCCTAAACAGCCAGAGCTGGGCCAATCTAGAGCCAAGAGATTCAGAACTCCCACATGGGTGCAGGGACCCAAAACTGAAGCTGTCCTGTGCTGCTTTCCTAAGCATAGCAGACAGCTGGATCAGAAATAGAGAAGCAGGCCCGACACAGTGGCCTAGTGGCTGATGTCCTTGCCTTGAACACACCAGGATCCCTGTGTGGGCACAGGTTCTAATCCCAGCAGCTCCACTTCCCATCCAGCTCCCTGCCTGCGACCTGGGAAAGCAGTTGAGAATAGCCCAAAGCTTTGGGATCCTGCACCCTTCTGGGAGACCTGGAGGAAGTTCCTGGCTCCTGGCTTTGGATAAATGCAGCTCTGGCTGTTGTAGTCACTTAGGGAGCAAATCGTCACATGGATGATCTTCCTCTCTATCTCTCCTCCTCTCTGTATATCTGACTTTCCAATAAAAATAAATAAATCTTAAAGGAAAAAAAGTAGAGAAGCCAGCACTTGAATTGCTATACATATAGGGTACTGGCACAACAAGTGGAGTATTAGGATACTAAGCCACTGTACCAGTTCTGCCTTGTAACTTTTTGTTGAAATCTGGACTGTGAACTGTGTGACTGGAGCTGTGTAAAAGAAACTGTGGTCCCCAGGTCTTCAGCTGTGTGGTGGAAAGGAGTTGAGGGAGAATTAGTATTCTGAAGTCCTGTGAGTTTTTATTTTGTTTTGTTTTTTGGTAAACTTGGAGTGTGAGTTCGCCATTGCATCTGAGGATCAGGATGGTGTCAGGGAGCTAGAATCGGCCATTTCTGTCTTACCAAGTAAATTAGGCTGTAATGAAATAATTTCTTCTGAGTGCAGGTCTTAGAACAGAATGTGCAGACTTATTTAAAAATGGTTGCTTTTTTCCTCCCCCTCTGTTTGAAGCATGAGGGAATTTTTTCTTGGTATTTTATGTGCAGACCTAGGCATGCTCCCAGAGCTGAAACTCACAGGTAGGGAAGCCCTCCCATGGCCAGAGTTCTTGGAGCTTTGAGGTTGAGACTTGACCACATTGAGCATGCTGCAGTTCATCCATTCCTGTGTAGGTTTCCCTGCCCCGTCCTGGTTTCCGGGGAAGTGTCTGCTGTGACAAGCAGTGATTCTCTCTCTGCATGTTGAGGTCAGGTGTTTTACTCTGTGACCTCTCTTCCCTGATACAAGAAGAGTTGTCAGGACCAGAGTTGCACAGCCAATGAAATTGCTGTCTATGATGCTGGCATCCCATGTGAACAAGTTCAAATGACTTCTCATCTAGTACCCTGCTCTGGCATGGGCGAAGGCCTCAGAGGATGGCCCAGGTTCTTGAGCCCCTATGCCCATGTGGGATCCAGATGGAGCTCCAGGCTCCTGGCTTTGACCTTGGCCAACCTGGGGTTTGGTGGCCATTTAGGAAGTGAACCGTAAAGGGAAGCAATTCTCTATGTGTGTGCGTCACTCTGCTTTTCAAATAAACCATTCAAAAAAAAGAACAGATGCTGATTTGTCATGCTTAGGAGAGGAGTGGGGGAGCAGCTTCCGAGCTCTCACATACTGGTCAGAAACTGGAAGTCTGACAAGTGATTTTGAGCTTGAAATTTTGTGCATGTATTTTGTGATAGAAATTTTTGTAGTATCATCAGTCATTGAATTTCAAGTGAATTATTCCTTCTGTTTTAAATGTTTGTTTATTTCCATCTATTTGAAAGGCACAGAGAGAGAGAGAGAAATTGATTTTTCATTGCACACTTCCAAGATGGCCCCAACAGCCAGGGCTAGACCAGCCCAAGGCCAGGAGCTTCCTCTGGGTCTCCCACCTGGATTGCAGGGGCCAAATACTGGGACCATCTTCCTCTGCTTTTCCAGGTGGATTATCTGTGAGCTGGATCAACAATAGAATAACTAGGACTTAAACCAGCACTTACATGGGATGCTGGTTAACAGACAGTGTCTTTACTTGCTACACCACAACGTTGCTTCCCCTTTATACTCTTAAGGAATACTAAAATCATCCACAAACTTTTGTTTAGGTGGATTTTTACCAGTTGATTTTAAGTATACTTGTATTATAAATTAACACTACTTTTTAAAAAAAATTAAAATTTTTATTGATGTATTGACAAAAATGACAGCAGGTTGTACAGTTACAGCCTTTTTTAATGAAAAATAACTGCATAATCAAAGGAAACTTGTACAGTAACATGTCTTTTTGGAAATCTTGAACATAGGAAACACTTAGATTCTCACATTTATTTCTGTATTCAGTGTATTGTCGAATGTTATCTTGACTTCTATGAAGAAAGCATGGCCTCACACAGATGCAGTCATTTTTTTGAATAACAACATTTCAGTGGAACTGTCCCTACGAAAGTGGTCCCGTAAGATTACGTTGCCTGGTAGTGCAGTAGCTGTCTTAGTTTATGTAAATGTGCTCAGTGAGGCTCATGCAATGACAGAAGTCATTTCTAAGAACATGGGTCCCTTGGGAACACATGACTGTACTTCACAGTCAGAAAAGGGTTGCCTGAGGGAATCTTTCACAAGTGTCTGGACATCCCTAGAGACAGGGACCACACTTCGATTCTTCCTGAAACACTGCGTGCATGATACAGTATAGATGTGTTATGGAGAATGCTTTTTGTTCTCACAGGTAGGAGGAAAGTGTGGTTTGATACATGGTTTGATACATTTGTTGAAGCTTTCAAACCAGAATGGGAGCTCCATTACAGGCCATCTGCTGAGACTGCAAAGATGAACGTGGCGCTTGTGTGTCGCCCGGCAGAGAGGATGGTCTTCCGAGTAACTCCGAGTAACCTCGTGCATAACACTATCTACCTCACGGGTCTCCACCTGGTCACTGAGAAACTACCAACCAAATTCGCTTTGTCTAGATGGAAAACACACGTATTTCTAAGACAAATTAGTTTTTCAGCGTGGAGCAAAGCCCTACTGAAGGTAAGGCTACTACAACCAGCAGCTGGTGACATGAGGGCTGTAAAATTAACTGACACACTCCGGAGAAGTCCCGAGGCAGCGCACAGTGGCTGGGAACCTAAAGGCATACGGGATCGGGGAAGGTGCCCTTAAGGTCTTGCCTACTTGGCTAAGACAGAGAAGGCTTTTAGACCTGCAGGAAGGCAGTTCCGAAGACTCCGGGGTAAACAGAGCCACATGTATTTGCAGAGAATGCGCCAGGGGCTGGCAGTAAGCAAGGCTGGTCAGGCAAGCTGGAGCCAGGGCCTGCCACTTCTCTGGTTCTGCCCGATGGTGAGAATTTTGGGCTCCACTTGAGAGCCTAGAACACCAGGATCGAGGCTTTAAAGTCAAATGACCTAACCCTAAGCTAGCTCTCCGCGAACATGGCAGGGTATAGCAGAAGGGCACCGGTCCTGCAGCGGGACAAGCTTAGGGCGCATCAGCGCGGGAGCACATCAGGGCTTCAAGGAATCCTCTGAAGCCGAGTTCAAGTAGGCTTCTGCTCTGAAAATTTTAGTGACGAAACTGTTGTGATGGCGGTTCACAGAATTCTCCAGCCTGAAATGGAGGAGATCGAGCAGGCTGTGCGCTGCTGCCTCGGAACAGCCCACGGGGCTCCAAGGCCACGTCTGCCCAATGGCACTGCTTAGGAGTTGAGCTTTTTCATGCTAGCAATTCCTAAGTGTCTTGGGTCTAAGAGGAATGTTTCATACAGCATTCGCCTGCGGCAACGCGGGCTTCTTTCTGAAACGGTTTTAAACCATTCTGCAAAGTGCGGGGCCTGCTGGGAGGGGACTCCTGGGAAAGCAGCCATGCCAGGGCTGAGGTCACTGGGAAGAGGCAGGGCGCCCGCCCTCGGGCCGCAGGACAACAGGATAATGGCTCGAAGATGATGAGGTCAGAGATTAACTAGTAATTTCAGCGCCTCTGTCCCTACGAGAAAGTTCCTCTAAGCAAACACTGAAAAATTCTGGAGCGGGATTTTTTTTTGCCAGAATCTGGCTAACTGTCAGCAATCCTGGTCGCTCCCGCCATGCGAAGAGGCACAGGGAGCGTGTGCAGCTCGTCCCGTCGCCCGGTCGGCCCGCGCTCCAGGTCCGGCCTCAGGAGCCGACGCCGGGAGGACACCGACCGCGCTTCCGGGGGGCCTCCGTGCTGCGTCAGCAGAACGGGCTCTACTTCCGGCCGCGGCGTAAACAAGGGCCCCGGGCAGCGGGAGGCGGGGCGCGCGGGCGGCGAGTGGGAGGCGGCCCCGCGGGCGACCTCTGCGCCCTGCTCCGGCTGACTGGGTCGCCGCCGCCCCCCGTCCGTGACCCTGCTGGCCCCTGGCGCGGTTCTGGCGACAGAGACGCCCCTGCGGCCACTGAGGAGGAGAGGCGCGAGCTGAGGCGGCAGGCCCGGCACGGCCGACCCTTTCGGCGCGGCCGCTTTCTCCCTGCATCGCCCCGCTGCGCCGTTTTTCTCCCCCGTTTTCTTTGTCTCTTTGCCCTTCTCGGCTGCGAGCATTCTCGGCGAACACAGCTACAGCCTCAAAATGGCTGATGGCAACGAGGATCCGCGGGCCGACGACCTGCCGGGGCCAGCCTACGAGGGCTACGAGTCCATGGAGCTCGCCTGTCCCGCGGAGCGCAGCGGCCACGTCGCCGTTAGCGACGGGCGCTACATGTTCGTCTGGGGCGGCTACAAGGTCAGTGGGTGGCCGTCGGGGCCCGGGGCGGTCCGGGGCAGGGCGTGGTGGGGCCGTCTGCCCGGGCTGCGGGGCCGTGGGCACGGCCACCTCGGGCGTGCAGGGCCGCTGGCCGCTGCGGGCTGTGGGTGTTGCGGCGGTGCAGGTCGCGGACCGTGTGGCCCTGGGGAGGGTGGAGGGCTGCGAGAGCGCCCGTAGACGCTCCAGCGGCACTTGCTGCGGCGGTTCGCTCCCGTCCGGCCCGGGGCCAGTCACCGGTGCCTGCGTGTGGCGGTGGCCGGCGTGCAGGGAGCCCCCCGGGGGTCGGTGGACTCCTCCTTCCCGCCCGTGTAACCGCCCCAGCTACACCTGTGCAGGGGCCGTTTGCCTTGTGGTTTCACTGAGAAGGGGTTCGAGTTTTTCTCAGAAGGAACCGCCGTTACGAAAGTGAACAGAAAAGTTCCCCCTTAGTAACCTAGAGAGTCCCCAGCAACAAAAACGCGACCGCAGGGGGCCGCCCTCCGACGCCCCAAAGGGGAAGGACTGTCTCCTCCCCGCCAGCCGGCAGCGCCTCCCCAAGTTCCCCCTCTCCACCCCCGGGCCACCGCGTGTAGAGTCTGCCCGTCCCGCTCCACGTTCTAGAATCGTCTCATGTCATTGCAGAAGGATTTTCTTCCCCTTAGGGTCTTAAAAACTGACCTCCCCAATTGCATGCAATCTAGCTCACTACACCTGTGCCTGGCTGAGCGCAGCTGATGTTGTTTGACCTAATGGACCCCCCCGCCCCCCAGGAATTTTTGCCATTTGTAGTTAATGATTGCAGTTGTCTTCCCCGGCCTCCAATCCAGAGGGTAGGGGTGTGGGACCGCGGCCAGGAAGGGGGCTCTAGTACTGCCTTTGGAGAACAGCAAGCCTGTTGGTCCGTCAGTCTGAAGCTGCTTGACTAGGAGTTGTGTTTGTCAAAAATCAGCAACACTGTGCTGGGAGCATGCAACTTAGCTTTGGCGGCCAGGAGTGTCACGGTGGAGGCTTTCTGATGAGGAGTTTGTGAGGGCTTGGATGCAGGGAGGCGCGATGATGGCGGGACCCTGCGGAGGCACAGGAAGCCCTGGAGATGGCGTGCAGGTAGAGCCCCTCACTGCCGGCGCGGCTGCCAGGCTTCCTTGCACGCGGAGTCACCCCCAGCGAGCCCCTGGAGCAGTGCTCAAGTGGAAACACAGGCACAGCTAGGGACTTCACCTCGGAAAACCTTCCTGCCTGTGCCACGGGCTGCCTCACAGATGGGCTGCTGAGGATTAAGCAAGTAATCCTGTTAGCACTCAGTCCCAGCATATGCCAGAGAAATGGCTGCGACTAGGGAATTTAAGATTTCACAGCCTGTCTGCAGGTCCATCCCTGGGCCTGTTAGAAAACGGGGCTAAAAGCGTTGTCTGGAAAGCTGGGACTGTGGGTCAGGCGGTTTCCTCAGGCAACTAGTCAGGACACAGGTTCTCCAGAAGGCACAGCAGGTGCACAGAGCTGCCTCAGATTGCCTGAGAGTTTTTAACGTCTTGTGTTCCTTCAAAACAAATTCTTTTTCAAGATTTGTTTTTATTGAAAAGGTTGATTTACAAAGAGAAGGAGAGACAGAAAGATCTTCTGTTTGTTGGTTTACTCCCCAAGTGGCCGCAGTGGCCAGATGGGATTAAACTGAAGCCAGGAGCCTCTTCTGGGTCTCTGATGTGGGTGCAGGGTCCCAAGGATTTGGGTCATCCTCTCCTGCTTTCCCAGGCCACAAGGAGGAAGCTGGATGGGAAGTGCAGCAGCCAGGACATAAACTAGCACCCACATGATGAGGATTTAGCCACTGAACCATTGTGCTGGGCCCTTATCAAAATTTTCAAAGTACAACTTGCTGTCTGCAGTAACCTTTTGCCTTGAGTGTGTGGAAGGGGTTGGGTGGAATTATGCACTTAATGTAGTCTAAGATATAATTAGCCTTTCCTAATTAGTATGTCAGGGAAGAATTGGTATTTTAAAGAGGTGCGGGGCCCAGCACAGTAGCCTAGCGGCTAAAGTCCTCACCTTGCATGTGCCAGGATCCCATATGGATGTGGGTTCTAATCCCAGAAGCCCCACCTTCCAAAAGACCCAAAGCCTTGGGACCCTAGATCCGCGTGGGAGACCCGGAAGAGGCTCCTGGCTCCTGGTCTCAGGTCAGTTCAGCTCCGGCCATAGCAGCCACTGGGGAGTGAATCAACAGACAGAAGATCTTTCTTTCTTTCTCTCCTCCTCTCAGTATATCAGACTTTTCAATAAAAGTAAAATAAATCTAAAAGGGTGTTACATATTGTTTTTATATATTTTTATATTTTTTACGTAGAGTAATCAAGTCAGAGGATTATATGACTTCTATCTGCCTAGAGAAGAATTATGGATCTACAACATGGAAACTGGAAGATGGTAACTATGGATATTATGAGGGGGATTAAAAAGTCAAAACCAGATTGTATTCATTGTAGTGAATAAAAATATTTTAAGAATACAATTGAGTGTGAGAGTACTTCAAATAATTCTTGGAAAGTGGAAATAAAACCTTGTATTTTTGGTATGAAAATTGAAATTCATGCTGCCTTTTTTGTAAGGCACATTTTCATGAAATTCTGAAATTAATATTTTGCAATTTGTTGTAGGTGCTAAACTTAGCTCCGCAGCTCTTCTTAGTTTAATAATGACTAGATACTTTTGTAAACTGAGAGAAGGATAAGGAAAATTCCACACCTGTCTTAAGAGGATTGTAGTTTGTTTGGATTTTTATCTGAAAAACATTTTTTTAATGATTTTTTTCGTTGGAAAGTTAGATTTATGGAGAGAAGGCAACAGATCTTCCATCTGCTGGTTCATTCCCCAAATAATTGCAATGGCCAGAACTGAGTCAGTCCAAAGCCAGGAACCAGGAGCCAGGAGCTTCTTCCAGGTCTCCTGTGTGGATGCGGGATCCGAAGGACCTGGGCATCCCCCACTTCTTTCCCAGGCCCTAAGCCTTGGGGAACTGGATGGGAAGGACTAAAGCAGTAGTTTTAGAGCTCATTGAAACAAAAATCTTTGAAGGCCAGCACATTGGTTCAACTAGCTAATCCTCATTTTTGTGCTTATTTCTACATTTTTATAAGACCAAAACAACATTTTCTTTATATAACAGGATAATTTGAAAGGCATCAAGAAGGTAAGTGTCTTCCGTTTGACAGGTCACTCCCCACAATGGCCAGGTCTGGACTAAGCTTTCAAATAAAAATAAATCTTTGTAAAAGAGTAAGCCCCGCCAAATTTCAAGTTAAGCAAAGATTAAGTGATACCGATTGGACAGCAAAACACATGGCCTGTTGACTGTACTGTTATAACCAATCTTGGGTGTCATAAATGTTTGGATTAGTATTAATTTGGAGTTTAAGAGCTGATGGAAAGTACTTAGGAGTACCTGATTCACAGGGAGCAAGTACTGCCTCAGATGTGGGTGGGTGCATATGAGAGCTCAGCTGTCAGCTCCTTTTTTTTTTTTTCATTTCTCCCATTTTAGGAAACTGATTTATATTTAATTCCTCCCTCAGGAAAAAAACCAACACTGAGGGTGACGTGCCTCCTTCGATGTCGGGCAGCTGTGCGGTGTGTGTGGACCGGGTGCTCTACTTGTTTGGAGGACACCATTCAAGAGGCAACACAAATAAGGTCAGTGTCTCCGAGGACCACAGGAAGGAGTACCATTTTACTTGTACTCTATTTAACAACCCACTTTTTTTTTTTTTTGTATTATATTTTTGACAATCTTTACATAGTTAATTTGGGTAAAAAGGTTCAAGGCCTAAAGAAAGTGGGTAAGACTATTTTTTCCATATTGTTTCCTTCATGTATCTGAGGCAAAGGGAGATATTGAGGGAGAAGCCACACCCAGTTTCCCACCCACCCCAAGTCACGGATGTGGGGCATGCTCTGAGATACTTACTCAGGTGGTTTTGATAGTTCACCAGTTATGAATCACTGCCAATCTCGCCACTCCAAACACGATGAGGTTGTTGAAGAATCCATTGATTGACATAGTCCATCCTAGCGTCTCCATTTGCCCAATCTTTCGCTGACAACATATAGCTGAAGTGGTTGATTGACTTGTTCTGTCCTCTGTCTTTCTTGGTTAGGGTTCTGAGTCTGCCATTTCGATTGGGGAGATCCCCAAAGAAACTTTGTCTGAGGTGTTCCCAGACCAGATTGTTGTATGTGCTAGCAAGCACAGGGCCTGGCACAGTCCATTGCCCTGATCAGCTGGTGGTTGCAATTGCTGGGTTGGTTCTGTTTTCAGCCCGACTTCCACTGGAACCAATGGGTGTTATATCCAGCCTGGTTCTGCCCAGCATATACTCAGCCCTCTCATAAACCAGTGGGAGCTGCAGCCTAGTCAGAGCGACCCACAATAACCCCCACCAGGCACGCCCCCTACCCTGGTTTGCCAATATGTGTAGCAGACTAGTCCAGCCTGTCCCACATCCCATTTGGCTCTTGTACATGTCAGTGGGTATTAAAGTTTAGTTCCATCTAACCAGCTCAACAATCAAGCCCTCACGGATATTGTTGAGTGCCTCTCTGTCTAGCCACCCCGGTCCCTGTCCTAGTTTTTCATGCCCTCCCGTGAGGGATGAGCCCACTATTTCCCTCATGGGTCTCTTACTCCCGGATTATACACTCTGAGGTGGTTCTGTGGTTTAACCTGACAGAATTAGTCCCCAGTGCCAGCTTCTGCCAGCTGATGCTGTGGCTAAGCCCAAACAACCCTCACCCACTCTAATTTTGTTTGCACCAGTAGGAATAATCAGCCCAGCCTGGCTTTTCCCTGATCTAGTCCATATGAGGTGCACAGGTGTGGTAGCCCTGCTTAGTCTGGTCTGCCCCCATCCCAGCTCATGCTGTCCAGTGGGAGTTGTTGTCCAGCAAGGGAACCACACCTTATTCCCCTGCCGGCTCTGCCCTGTCCCTTCCTGGTTCTCATGTGTGCTGGTTGGGTGCTGTGATCACATCCGGTATGGTAACCTCACCTTGGCATTCCGTATTGTGCACTTTTTGCTGCGACCGAACCTTGCTCGACCCACACTCTGTTCTGGTGCTCAGATTTGCCAGTGGATGATGTGAACTGATTCAGCCTGGTCTGCCCCCGACCCATGCCAAATGTATGCCAGTGGGAAACTTTTCATGGCCTCTTCTGGGCTGTTTCCTATCATGCTTCTTGTGCTTACCTGCAGGGTCTGTGTCCTGCCAGAGGAGTTGCCCAGGCTCCTCCATCAGAACCTCCCCAATGTCAGATTTTGCGCATACTAGTGGACAACCCACTTTTTTTTTTTCCAGCTGTCTCATGTCTATTTTAATTTTAGTATTTAGCAGTTCATAGCGTTGAAGCATGATTTTGCAGTACCTGGCTGTTTTTCAGGTAGTCTAACTCTATAACTTTGACAAATGTCAACAGTTTAGGTGAACAGTTTTAGGAGGGGTGTGCAGAGAAATCTTCAAAACCCTAGTGAGGAGTAACTAATCTTTGTGTCCCACCCAGTGAGTTATAAGTGCATCCTCACTGCCCATTTCCTGTTTCTAAGCTTTCCTTGTTGTTCTCTATCTATTCTAGGGTTTTTTTTTGTTTGTTTATTTGTTAGTTTGTTTTGGGGAGTTTTTGGTGCGATCCTGATGGTCATTACAAGAGAGGGTGGGGACCCAAAGTTGGAACCAGGCAAGAACCAGAGAAAGCTCCTCCCCCTAGTCCCGAAGGAAGTTTACTGTTTTGTTTCTGCGGACCGCTCAGTGCTCCTGATTGTTGTTCCGATGACCTTGGATCCTGCAAGGCAGGGTATGGGCTTCTTCCATCCCATGTGGGAGATCCAAATGGAGGTGGGTGACCTCAGAGTTCTCGGCCTCCAAAAACACTCCAATTCCCCATGGTCTCCTTGGCGGACAACCCACTTTCTAAAGTGTGCTTTGTTAGTCCATTTAGTAAACATTCAGTTGATTATGGCATGAATGTGCAATTTGTGTGTCTACCTGCCAGTCTGTTTTTGCCTAGGTTTTCTGTAACATCAGCTTTGTTGGTAGCCCATGTGCAGTGACTTCCGAGGTTTTTCTGTGTCCTTTTCAGGTGCTTGTTCTCTTAGGACCCCCGAGTGTTAGGAGAACACCAGTTTAAAGAGAGCTTTAGGAAGGGAAGACAAGTCGTAGTCATAGAAGGGTAAAAATGAGCAGAACACTCAGAGCCATAAAGAACAAGGATCACAAATTTTATATAGTGAAATTCCTAGAATATAGTCTCCTAAGACGCTGCTGTTCAGGTTTTGGCCATTTTTCCAAATAGGAAAATAGCATCACTACTTTTTTTTAGGCCAGGAAGAGAGAGCTGGATCAGTCAGCAAAGGTGTGTAAAATTGGTAGACTCCTGGCAGGTAATTTATTTGGCAACTAGGTAAACACTGTATATGCCAAGTACCTCACCTCATTGGAGACAGAGGAATGATACGGTCCATCCCTGCATCCAGGAACTTACACTGTTGAATGGACACATATAACATGTAATGACTGCAGTAGCATCTGATAAAGTTGCAGAGCCTGGCACACAGCACTTACTCAGTAAAAGGTATTGAATCTGAAGTGGCATTCTTGACGTTGTGTCTAGGAAGATGGGAGAATAGACAAGAAAAATGTTTCGCCGGAGCTGTTGCTTGCAATGTACAGTGAAATTGGAAGGGGTAGCCAGTAGGCAGAGATAAAAGCAAATATTTTATAGAAATGCGAAGTTGTTTTGTAGATAGAACACAGGTACAACATAAGGGCAAGAATGTTTAAAATTCTGCTGCTTAAAGTTCTAATGTTGTTCTGAGCTGAACTGAGATTCCTGCAAGAGGGGCTTGGGGTCAGGGGAACTCTGGACCTGCCTCTTCAGTTACAGCAAGCATGGTTCCACTTGGGATTTTCTATATTGCTTTTCTTCTTCTTCTTTTTTTTTTTTTTTAAGATTTATTTACTTTTATTACAAAGTCAGATATACAGAGAGGAAGATCTTCCATCCGATGGTTTACTCCCCAAGTGACCGCAGCGGCCCGTGCTGTGCCGATCCAAAGCCAGGAGCCAGGAACTTCCTCCAGGTCTCCCACACGGGTGCAGGGTCCCAAGGTTTTGGGCTGTCCTCGATTGCTTTCCCAGGCCACAAGCAGGGAGCTGGATGGGAAGCAAGGCTGCTGATATTAGAACCAGCGTCTATATGGGATCCCAGTGCAATCAAGGCGAGGACTTTTAACGGCTAGGCCACCGCACCGGGCCCTATATTGCTTTTTTACGTTGAGATTTTGCATATTATTTGAAGAAAGGATTCTCTGGTATAGGCCATAGTTTAGCCATTTATTTTTCAGACTCAAAAGGGGGAAAAAAAGCTTGAGGAATCCTGGGGAGGAAAAAGCTATGGTTTTAGGGGGATGATCACAGAATAGCTAATAATATATCTAGTAATATATCTAGTATTATATTAGTAATAGCTAGTAATATACCTAGTAGATAAGACTTAAAATGAGCCATTTCAATGTATTTGATGTGGATATAAACCATTTGAAGGACGGACTGATGTTTAAGCTTTTTAAGTATTTATTTTTAGCTCCTAGAATTAAGTACACACTGAAGATGTCTTTGCTAAACTGAATCTAAAAATGAGCCTGCTGGGCCGCATGCGGTAGCCTAACAGCTAGTCTTTGCCTTGCATGCACCAGGGTCTCATATGAGCACCGGTTCTAATCCTGGCAGTCCTGCTTCTCATTCAGCTCCCTGTTGTGGCCTGGGAGAGCAATTGAGGATGGCCCAAAGCCTTGGGACCCTGCGCATGCATAGGAGGCCCTGGGGAAACTCCTGTCTCCTGGCTTCAGATCAGCTCAGCTCAAGCCGTTGGGGCCACTTGGAGAGAATCCAGGCTGCAGCTTGCTGGGAGCCAACCAGTAGCATTGATATAGATAATATGCTTAGTGTTAAGTCACAGAGAGTTAAATACTTTAAAGCTGAATTTTTTTGACATCGCAAATTAACTGAAATCATTGCTTCTGACAGTTCTACATGTTGGATTCGAGGTGTACAGACAGAGTGTTACAGTGGGAACGGATTGATTGCGAAGGAATTCCTCCATCATCAAAGGACAAGCTTGGCGTCTGGGTTTACAAAAACAAGTGAGTTAGCAGCAGTGCAGGTTCAAGGGCTGATGCTGAAAATGGGTGACCATTGCAGGCGTTCTTAGCTTTAATCTAAATGTAGAACATCTTTCATTCAGCATTTGTGAAGATTAAGTGAATGAATACATGCAAGAATTTTATGTAGTACACGATATATAGAAGCATTTGGCATTAATTAAATAAGCATTTTCATATATCCATGTGCCATTTGAACTCTTTGGACACTATATATATTTTTTAAACAGGTTAATATTTTTTGGAGGGTATGGATATTTGCCTGAAGATAAAGTGTTGGGAACTTTTGAATTTGATGAAACATCTTTTTGGGTAAGTGAAGTTTTATGTTTGCATGTAGTTTCCACAGAATGCTGAAACACATTTTATGTTCATTAGTTTTTTTAAATTTTTTTTTCCCTTTTCATAGCAGATGGGTTTGCAAACTAACTTAGAAACTTCCATTTTCTGTAGAATGCAAGTCATCCAAGAGGATGGAATGATCATGTTCACATTTTAGACACTGAAACATTCACCTGGAGTCAGCCTATCACTACGGTGAGTTGTGGGCAAGTAATGTTTATTAAAGCAAGTAGACTTAAAGTGAAGTGGATTGAGGAGATGGTTTAAAATGGACCGTTATTTTCTGGAGACAGATGATCCTGCTCACTTAAGAAATTTAGAGCTCAGAAAAGTTTAAAGAATACAGAAACTTGGGATCTACTGTCAAGTAAATGATAGCAGCTGTTGCTTCTAATGCAACAACCTGGTACTAGATCAATGCTAGCATTCCTAAGATTAAAAACGGGAGCCACGCCATTAGCCAGCACATGAATGACACATTCAAAAACATTTTTAAACATTTCCAGTTTTATTAATCAGCTAAATTGCTGTTGCCAAAGGTCTGTACCTGGGCTTTAATAAAAAAAAAAGAAAAATTTCCATATTTTTACATACCACAGTATAAGAAGACTAGTGTTTCCCACCTTTAAAAGTCTAGTTCTAAAGTGGCGTTTATGATCTTACAGGGTAAAGCGCCTTCCCCTCGTGCAGCCCACGCCTGTGCTACAGTTGGGAACAAAGGCTTTGTGTTTGGTGGCAGATACCGAGTGAGTATATAAACAGCCACGTGGACTTGCTCCTGAGCTTATCAAGATGTTAACTACTTACATTTTCCTTTTCTAGGATGCTAGAATGAATGATCTTCATTATCTTAATCTTGATACATGGGAATGGAATGAATTGTAGGTATCACATTTATAAAGAAACTTTAAAAACTGCAAATTTCTCCCTGTATTCCTTATTATAGTTAATACTGGCTTAAATCTTCTTGAATTTTAAATAGTCATCAACACTAGGTTCTTAAGGAAGGGACTTTTTCATATTTCTAGTGTCTGCAAATATGTGCCTGGCACGCAGCATGTGCTCATTGCTTGCTGAAAGGAAAATGCCCGAAGATGACTGCCTTCAAATAAAGCATGTAGTTGGTATCAGTGAGGAGCCTTTATAAAGTTTGTTTTCATGATACAGTTTTCAAGAAAACTTGAGTGTTTATGTTACAAGCAATAACTGCTTTTAAATGTACTTATTGTGACTTGGCTGTTATTTTTCAGAATTCCACAAGGCATATGCCCAGTTGGCCGATCGTGGCATTCGCTAACACCAGTTTCTTCAGATCATCTTTTTCTCTTTGGTGGATTTACCACTGATAAACAGCCACTGAGTAAGTCCTTTCAGTAGATCCATGAAGAGCTGAAAACCAGCCTATTTCATATGCATGAGAGGGCAGTAGGGTTGGTTGGAAGGTAATTTTGCTGGACCAGGTCAGAGTCCTGCTGAAGGGTTTAAACATGCAGGGGCTTACCTGGTCAGCTGTAGAGGGAGGGCAGAAAATAGGCTTTTTTTCTTTAAAGATTTATTACTTGAGACAGATTTTATGGAGATGGAGAGGGTAAAACCTTCCATTCATTGATTCACCCCTCTAATGGTCCCACTGGCTAGAATTGAGCTGATCCAAAGCTGGGAGCCAGGAGCTCTTTCCAGGTCTCTTGCACGGGTGCAGGGTCTCAAGGACTTGGCCCATCCTCTGCTGCATTTTCCAGGTCATAAGCAGAGAACTCGAGTGGAAGTAGAACAGCCAGGACACAAAGTGGCACCCATACTGGATGACACCAGAACCAGAGGGTGGAAGATTGGCTTATTCTGCCACTGTGCCAGTCCCAGAAATTTTATTTTCTATCTACTCATGATTTTATTTACTACCATTTTTGCCTGTGCGTTTCAGATGACACTTATGTATACAGAATGATTGACTTTATAATTCTTCATTCACTTTAATCAGGTGACGCCTGGACTTACTGCATTAGTAAAAATGAATGGATACAGTTTAAGCATCCATATTCTGAAAAACCAAGGTATGAAGTATTTGAATGTAATTTTCAAATAAGGTCCATATATATGAGATTATTAAGAATTATTTATCTACATTCTTTATAAAATCTAACCATGCCAGTAATACATAATGTTTTTTTTAAAGATCACTTAGTTTTAATTCAACTAAGTACACTGAAGGCCAACTCATCAAGTTGATGTGTCCTTCCAAACACTGAGTCTTAAAAATACATGAAGCAAATGAACACCACAATCTGGCTCTTAACCTGGATGAGCTCCATTCATCTTAGTTTATTATTGTCAACACTAAAAACCTAGAAAGGGGAAAATTTTTAAACCATGAAGTATTGTGTTTGGGAAGGATTTAGAACACTCAAAAATGCTCCCCTACCCCCAGCAGCCTGTAACTCATAGTGTTATGACAACAGAGTTTACTTGGCGTGCACACACACGTCTATCTTTCCATGTAAGGACTATCATCTCCTTGGGGCCTTGAGCTTCTCTTAATTGTCCCAGGTAATTGCCACTGACCCTCATTTTGAAGAGGAAGGAAGAGGAAATACATACCTTGAGTCTCTGTAAAGTTTTTATTGCTAACCAAGAGCTAGAGAGAACTGCTAACCAAGAGCTAGAGAGAACGTTTAATTCAGAGGTAAAATAAATGGGTGGAGTAGACGGTGATGTTTTCTAGCTATTGTTACTTAAAACGGTTGTGATTTCATTAGCTCTACTCTGTAAGGTGAATGATCAAATAGGTGTTTGGGCGAGTGCAAACCCTGGTTTCTGTTTTCAATGCAGGTTATGGCACACAGCTTGTCCCAGCGATGAAGGAGAAGTAATTGTTTTTGGGGGGTGTGCCAACAATCTGCTTGTTCATCACCGAGCTGTAAGTATGGTACACATTATAGCACTGGTGAGACAGATTAAGCACTTGGTTTGTAACGTGTTCTTCAAACCTATTTTTAGGCGCACAGCAATGAAATACTTATATTCTCAGTTCAGCCAAAATCTCTTGTACGGTAAGTAATTTTTTTTTTACTAACCTAACAATTTTAAAAGTCTTAGTTTGTGGCTTGGGCAAGAATGAATCAAAAAAAAAGAGGTGTTACTTTACTGTTTGTAAGAACCTTCAATTGAAGGTTCTTTCAAAGTGTCTTTCTTTCCTCTTGTCTACTTTCAGGTTAAGCTTAGAAGCAGTCATTTGTTTCAAAGAAATGTTAGCCAGCTCATGGAACTGCCTTCCAAAACACTTACTTCACAGTGTGTATCAGAGGTTTGGTAGTAACAACACTTCTGGATCCTAAGGCCTCATGGATTATGCCCATCGTCACCTTGCATGGACAGCAATCCTGTAATGTCACAGAGTGACGCTGTATAATTATATGCATTGTTGTAGTTTGCAGCTTTTTGTTTTAAATGTGCATGTGAATGTACGAGAGAACCTATTTTTGTGTCTGAAGTTGAAAATAAATGAAATGTATTTAACACCAACAACTTTCCTATGTTACAGCAGGAAGTCCTTGTGATTTGTACCTCCAGAAAATGAGTATACCATTTTCTTCTTGGCAGTAACATCTCCGACTATGAAACAATCTTTCTGTAGATATTATCCTATCGAAATGATTAATAGCAAAAATAATGTATGTATAGCAAAATTAGCTCGCTTAATTCCCCCCCCCCCCATTTTAATGTTGGAAAATAAGCTAACTAGTACAAGACACTGGTGGGAGTAATAGCTGTTTTAGTACTTTGGCCTTAATGCTTTGGTATAGGGGCTGGGGCAAGTGGTCATACTGACCATAGGCAGGTGTTTTCCAGTCAATTGGAAGGTAAGTTTTGTAGCTTAAGATGGATGGAAATAACAACACTTTATCTCCTTTGTTAGGTGTGGTCACTGGCAATCCTCAAGTGCACTTCTGATATAGTATATACTTATAACGTTAGTAGCAATTAATAGAGATGGAAAGTAGTAAAAAATTGAAGTTACTAGGGAGAAATAAAGTGAGGATGTATATGAGACTTACACCAATTTCTTCTAGGTATTTCATAAGCTGAGTCATGAAAGTTATTAGTATTTTACATCTGATTAAATGTAATTCTTGACAAGTACAGGTGACTGGAAAAGAAAATTGATTCCAAGTCCTTTAGAGTTCTCAGGAGATAATCCTGAATGTGTAATTAGCCCATGAGTAATACAAGTATCTATTTCAGACATTAGACTACTGAAAAGGCAACAGATCAAATAATGAAGTCACTCCTCTGTTCAGTTTTACAACATGAAATGAATACTTAGTATTAACCTCATTTTCAGAAAATATGTAGTAACTACATAAATATACTTAGCATAACATAAACATGTGAGGAAATACTGTCAGACAGTGCTTCATCTATATAAAATTGGAAAAAAGTCCTTTTGACAAACGTAAGATAATGTTCAGTTCATTTTTAAGTGTGGACATCCTATTACATGGTATTTTCATCTTTAAACTTTGAACAAGTTGTAAAACTGGGTCTTCTCAAATACTTAGTTTATTTCACTTATTTCTTTTTTACATTCAGAAGATTGGGTGCAGACACCTTCACTTTACCAGGGATGTTTCTTGATAAATCAGTGTCCTTTAAAAACAAAACGAAACACAAAACAGCTGAGTATCTTCACACCCAGTATGGTCAGCCATATTTAACAGATACTTATCCTCTGCCATCAGAACAAAGGCACTAACTAGCTCAAATGATCTTGTGCTTAGAGATAACATTTTAGCATTTTCTACTAAAAAAAAGCCAAGTTAGACCAGTTCCCTTAAAGGAAATTTTACCTTTACACTGCGGAATAAATCTTTTTCTCTTGCTGTTGCTTCTTTGGAATGCATGAAATTATTCAGGGCTGTTTTTGCAGCTGTATATAGAAAATAAAGTAGTCTATTTCTGTTCACAGAAGTGTTTAGAAATTAACTCAGGAAAATAAAGTTAAAATACCTTTTCCCTTCTTCTGAACTCCAGGAGTAAGCTTCACTTTGTATCTTTAAAAAGGGAATGACATGTGTTAGTAGATAAACAAAACAATTCGTAAAAGTCACTGTGTGAACTGTGCTAATAAGTAAGCTAATGGTGACTTACTTATAGTTTGTCATGGTGGTGTAAGGAGCACAGATTGGAATGGCAAACAGCAGTATATCTTCAGGATGTGGCTGGCCGGTCAAAGAATCAAACAGATTTTCCTAAAAAGGGAAAATAGAAAAAATAATTTGTACTAGTCTTAAAGCAAACTCTGTATAGTTCTAAGCAGTTGAAAACCAATGTCTAAATATATCCTTTACTAATTAGCTTTGCTTGAATAGCAAGTAAAAAGAACAGTGGTTTCCTACCACCACCTATGGATGCAGTTAAGGAAAGTCTGTGTGTGAAGTTGCACAATACAATAAACTAAAATCATGTTTTGACGACACATTTAAGTCTACTGTATGGAAACTGGTCTGACACTTCAGTAGACTAACAGTTTCCTGGGAAGGTTTTTTTTTACCCACCAGTGTGTGCAGATGGGCAGAATACAAGGTCCCACTGGCATTCAGAGAGCAGATAACATTTGTAAAATGGATAACCTTCTATTACAAAGTGCTAACAGTATCAAGGTTGAGAAACTCTGGGCTTAAGAAATTCCAGGCTTCTTGTCATTTGTGCATAAAACTGCCCCTATTGTTTAACATGAATAAACAATAAAATGCTTCATGAATAATGGTAATTGTTTGCCATATGGCATTTGCTAAATGCTTTTCTTCTGTTAACCTCATTTTCAAAGCATCTCCCCTGGTATCTCAATGGGGATGACAAATGCTATGCTGTTCAGCTGAAGAAACTGAAATTCCAGAAATATTTGCACATTTGCACAGGTAGCAGAATTGGGATTCAAACCCAGGAAGCTTGCCTCCAGAGCTCCACAGCTTACTGTAAAAGTTTAAATCAGACTGGAAACTATGTTACAATGAGAGGACTGGTAATAGGAACCCCAACACAAATATCATACCTCATTTCCCTGTTGATCCAGATCTTGGTCTTCCTATGTGGAAAGAAGTTAGAAATTAAAATGAAATTCCATAGCACTGGATAAGAAGGTGGAGTCGTGTTGCCATTTCCTCCCAAGGAGGAAGGGGGCCAAGGGGTCTGGGTCATGTTCTGCAGCCCCACCTGCGGACAGGCTCTACCTGTTAGCACTAATCACTTCCTCACGACTTCACCTCTTAATACTGTTCTTACACAGTATTTCAGGTTCCAAAACCAGGGATTCCACAATTACATTAGCACTGAGGCTTCAGCACCTACCTATGAAAGAACATACAAATTTAATCCCACTAATGAGTATGTGTCGAGGATTTAGACTGGGAATGCCATACATGTTTGAGACAAAATTGGTGTTAGCATTACTAAATAACGCAATTCATTAAGAAAAACAGAATGTAATCCTAAACATTACTGCACTACATTGAACATATGATTATAACTTTAAGATGCTTTATAATTTTGTAAATCTTTAGTTGGCATCTTAAATCTCAAAATGTTTATAGTAATATCTAATTTTTCTTTGTATTCTATTGGTAAAACAACTGGGTGACTATGTTTAGGAAAATGTTTATTTCTCACTGGTTTTGTACCCAGACAAAACCAGCACTTTAACTGTAAAACCACTCTTTTTATATGCTTCTCCATAATTTAGTATTTTTGCAGGTTTATGCTTAGGTACTACAATTTGATCCTGCAGTTTGTATTTAAAAAAGGACATTTTTTGCCTCCTGAATAGCATTCGGCACCAGGCCCATGCTGGGAACCCTGGGATGGTTGGTCACCAGGATGAAGACAGCAGTGTTGCTGTACCTTGTCATCCTGCAGATCATCCACAGCTAGGTCCTGCACCTCGTGAGCGGCAACATCGATGGGCGGCTTCGCTTTCTGAATGCTGTCAGAAACCCTCTGTCCACCTCTGGGTTTCTGAGGCTGTTTCTTCACAGGTTCATCCTTTGTTTTTCCTTTTTTCCCCTTCTTCCCTTTTTCTTCTTTGTTTGAGCCTGCAGACTTTGATTTGCAGAACAAAAACCAGTTGTTATTACACTATTTTGGTTTATTTTTAAACAATGTCCTGAATACTTATTATGCTAGATAGGAGCTGGATGCCCACTGAAAAGCAAGATTCTTTTTGTTGTCACTTACCCCCAGCAATTTCATGATAAGTTCACGATCTTCTTCATCTTGGTCTTTGTACTTTTCCTTCATCTTTTTCATTTTACTCTGTAAAATCAAAGAGTCCAGTTAGAAAGTTCAGTAAAAAGGGACATTATAACATAGCACATTAAGCTTCTGCCTGTAAGTGCCAGCATCCCATACAGGTGCCAGTTTGAGACCTACTTCCTGCGCTTAATCCAGTTCCCCACTAATACACCTGGGAAAGTAGAAGACAACCGAAATGGGCTCCAAAACCCACAGCAGCGAGGATCCTGGCTTTTGCCTGGCCCAATCTCGGCTGCTGCAGCCACATGGGGAGTTAACCAGGGGATAAAGATCTTACCTTCTGTGTAACTCTGCCTTTCAAATTAATACCAGAGTTCAATAGAATAAGCAAGTATTTGTAAAACAAGCCGGAATTTAAAAACTGGCACTTTTTAAAAATGCTTATTGAAAAAACTGTGCAGAGGCACAGCATGCTGAGCACTCGATCCTGTGGGCAGTTCCTTACCTTTCTGCCCCACTTCCAACCTACCTATGGCCTGGGAAAGCAGAGAACAGCCCAAGACCTTGGGCCCATGTCCCTGTGGGAGACCAGGAGGAAGCTTCTGGATTCCAGCTTTGAATCAGCTCAGCTCTGCCTGCTATACTCACATGCAGAATAAACCCGTACACAGAAGACCTTCTCCAGCCTCTTTCCTCTGCAAAAACTGCTTCCAAATTAAAGCTTGCAAGTTTTCTACAAAGATGGATAAACTACACTCCTTATGTTGAGAAATTTATCTTCTAACAGAAGGATTAATGACTTTTTTTTTTAAAAAAAGGATTCGTTTATTTTTATTGCAAAGTCAGATATACAGAGAGGAGAGACAGAGAGGAAGATCTTCCATCCGATGATTCACTCCCCAAGCGACCGCAACGGCTAAAACTAAGCCAATCTGAGGCTGGGAGCCAGGAGTTTCTTCTGGGTCTACCACACGGGTGCAGGGTCCCAAAGCTTGGGCTGTACTCTACTGCTTCCCCAGGCCACAAGCAGGGAGCTGGATGGGAAGCAGGTCTGCCGGGATTAGAACCGGTGCCCATATGGGAATCTGGTGCATTCAAGGTGAGGACATTTAGCCACTAGGTTACTGTGCCAGGCCCTACATATTCTTATTTAATTCCATGTTTTAATAATTCGTAATTCAAAATTTATGAATTTATAATGTACTACTATATAATCGGGAAACTGCTCCTCATGACTCTATAACATCCTTGGCTATTCTTTGGAACTTATTCCA